ATGGCGATTCCGGTTATTTCTGAAATTGACATCACCTTTGTTATTTTAGATGGAACATCCTGTATATTATTGCAATTTTGGATTCTACGTCAATTTTTAGGTGAACTTTCATAATGGTTTCCTATTCTTAAAGTTAACCGTTTTTGACATATTTAATTTTTTTCAAAAAAAATTTAAAAAGCACTGCCTAATTCAAAAAGGTGTATATTTTACAATAATAAAGTTAGATCGATAAAATTTAAAGGGAACATAACTAAAACTCTTCTCTGCCATAATTTCAAAATGACTTAATTTCATACAGGGTGGTAGAAATTTAATTCCGAATTTAGTCAACTTTAAACCATCTTAACTTATTTTTTTTTAAATGGAACAGCCTGTATATTTTTACGCAACCTGATGAACAATTTTGTTCTCTTTCGAATCGTATAATGGTTCCCTATCCATATCTCTTCAGGTTTTTAAGGTATTTACTGTTTTTCGCACAGTCAACAGATATCGCATAATTTCTTGCGAGGATGCCTGTGAAATTTTTAGAACTTCAAAGAAAAGCACCTAATCTGTCACCAGTTTATTGTTGTCAATTTAACATAAGTGAATGTTTATTTGAGTATTATTTATTGTTAAAGAATGGATAACGTTAACATTTATCCAAATGCTGACATTCTATTTATTTATTCATGGAGAGTGGCACAAGATAATACCTAAATAGGACTTACAGGGTATTTAATGAGAGCTATCCTCATTTACCACCACTTTTTACGGAGAATTTTATGAAATCAATTTGAACATGGTCGAATTTCTGCACGTAAAATTTTTCCAAAGCCGATAACTTTAGATGAAATTAACATCATCAATGTTTTGGCATATTTTCATGCTTACCCTGAATCATCAGTTCGTGCTGCTGAACTGGATTTAGGCATTTCTAAAACCTCCATCCAAAAGATTTTGAAAACTAATGGTCAGCATCCATTTAAATTCAAATTTGTACCTGTACTTCATCCCGGGTGTAGTATGTGAAGAAAAATAATAGTTTTAAATTATTACATGATATAAAGGCTGCCTTTTATATTTCTGGAATGATGGTGCTGACACCTGACAACCGACATCCCTATCGGATAGATCGACTATTTGTCGATATACTTACTCAAAACGTTTTGACATACAGGTACTATTTCTATGGTTTACAGTGACTCGGCCAAAAAATGGAACTAAGTCGTCAACATCTCCATGCAATTACTTTTTATAACCTTTGACGTGGATTATCGAGACAACTTAATTCGATTTTGGCGATAAAGCACCATCGAAAACAACTGTATATCAGTGGCACACGGAATTCACTGATATTGCAAGATCGCCATGTGACACAGTCAGATTGAGACATTAGTGAGACCAGCATATATTCAATTATGCATGAACATTTGGCCACCGATAAAATTTGTTCACATTGAATCCCACATAATTTGACAAACGCTCAGTGAAAGGCTAGTGTCAATTGGTCGAAATAACTGCTCAAAAAATACAAACGCCGTACTTCAATACGCGTCTATGACATCGTAACAGGTGACGAATCATGGATCTATGCGTATGAGACCAAAAGTAAACATCATCAGTCGACCGTATGGGTCTTTGAAGATGAGCCAAACTCAACAAACGTTGTTCGCACGCAAAGAACTTCTAAGCAAATGGTCGCCTGTTTTTTCAGAACAAACAGACATGTGGTAACTGTACCATTAGTGCAACGTCGGACAGTGAATTCTGAATGGTACACAATCTAGAAGTCTTCGGAACAACACGAGGAACCAACCACCGAAAACGTATCACTTTCCACCTGGGCAGTGAGAGATCTCATACATTGGCTCAAACACAGATTTTTTGAAAACTGAAAAAGTTGAATTGAATCATCCGCCATACAACCCTGATTTGGCAACCAATGACTTATTTTTATTCCCGCACATCAAAAATAAATTACAAGGTCAACGTTTTTCGATTGATTTGTTTTCGCAATACTTTATGAAATTCCAGATCATAAGAACTCGCCTTTGGGATCTATTTAACAACAAATATTTGAAATTCTCGTGTTTTGCTAACGACAGTATATTCTATCCACATTCTTGGATTAAACTTACGTTTCATCCATGGTTAGATCAGCAAAATTTCTGCCTGTTGAAAAACTTTCTAGGCCTCTGATCAACGTAGTTAAGGCTTGTTCGTGTTCTTCCCTCAACCAGTGTAATTTAGCTTTTTCTACGAATAAAGTAGGAGGAGCGTACTCTTCGGCCTTTACTGTGTACGTGTAAGCTTGTTGGTGCATCTAAAACATGTTAAATTATTTTACGGTTAAGTGTTTGATATCTAAATCGTTTTACCCCTGCAGCCCTTGCAGTTTTAGCACTAAGTAGCCAATGCTCCCCTATAAGAGAATTTAGAAAGGGAATCGCTTGGGGAACTCTTTCCTCTGCGATTTTCTTGGCGAGGTTCAAAGAAACCCGCCTCATGCATAGCAGCGGCTCTACAACTCTAACAGATTCCTGTACAACCTGCAAAAACTATGATAATAAACAGCAACAATAGCAATGACGTACTATACCTTGATTCGTAACATCCATTCATCCGTCAATTTCATCATTACATTTTTCGTATATGTATTATCGTTAGGTTTCAAGAATAATTCGGAGAGCGTATTTTCAACTTGCCGAAGCTCGTTTAAGGCATGTAACTTAGATATACAACTGTACCCGTGCTGGTAAGCACCAACTTCCAAGCTAGCAGCGCCAAACGATTCCACTTGGGATTTTAATAGACCATCCAGCGTGTTTTTAAATTCGTCTCGATTTCCTATATTTCAAACACATAAACAACAAATAGTTTTAAAAATTACACGATTACCATTCTTTAAATATAGCAAGGCCTGTCCTACTTGTACACCCCAACTTTTGTTCCTAATAAGTTCTGGTTTCCTCAACAGACCATCGAGTTCGTCATATTCTCCCAAACGCCATAAAGGTTCGGCTTGCATTTCTAGCAACATGTTTCCGAATTCTAGTTGGTTGTTTTGAGCGCCTTTCACAAAATTTAAAGCAGTATTCACGTTGTCCAAGTCCAAATAGCACTGCACTAAACCCTAAAACGTATTTATTTTTGTGCGAGAATATATATTTTCATTAACACAAGTTTTACTTGAATGTGATGTATTTTCGGTTCTAATATTCTTTCGTAACAAGTTATTGCATCCGCTAACTTTCCAGAAACTTCTAATGCTAGAATTTTTTGTTCGATGGACGGTTCATTTTGTTGTAGTGCGCTCACACCAGCTACCCCATCTAATTCATCGAGTTGAGCATAAATCTAAAAAGATGCAGTTTTTTACAAAACTTTTACCTTCTGAAGGTTTTTTAGTTTAAAAATAATTTATACAGGGTGTAACTAAATAAGTGTAAAACATTTAAGGGGGTGATTCCTCATCGAAAAAAAGATAGGATCTTTCATATAAAGAAACTTCATTGGAGCATCCCTTGTTAACATACAACCCCTTAAAGGGGGTACATAAAATTTGTTTAACAATTTTTTTCACAAGCACTAAACAAGTTACAATATTGAAATTAACCTGACATTTTCTACTACCAAAAAGACACTTAGCCAGTAATTTATTTGGTTTACCCCATGGTTGTAAGGGGTGGAAAACGCAACCCCTAAAATTTATTTCCAACGTAATTTTTTGTCTTATTATTTTTTTACCATTTAAAAATTTATTTCCGATAGCCTGTTTCATTCTAAAAAAAAATGTCTCTTGAATTTTTTGCCCAAATTAAACCAGTTCGCAGCAAAAAATTATTTTACGAACAAGATACATATCGCCATAAAACGAAAATACGAAACTAATTTATCTAGTAGGCCGCCATTAGCGATACTGACAATTAAATTGGAATCAAGCTGTCAGTTTGTAAATTTTTGAAATTGAAGTAATACTAATTGTGTATTGTTCTGTTCTTAATTTGTTACTTTAATAATTCACTTGTTATTAAAATGGCATACACAAATGAGGAAATGGCTGATATGCATTACGTTTACGGTCTGTCGCAGGGGAATGGGTTAGAAGCTTCTACAAGATATGCTGAAATGTATCCTCAACGGCAGCATCCTTCACATAGAATATTTGTCTGACTTCATCAACGATTACGTGAATATGGTTCATTCAACAAAAGAACGCAGGATTGTGGTCGCCATCGAGAAGTAAGAACACCACAGCTTGAGGCAGCAGTACTTAATTTGATAGAAGAACAACCTACTACCAGTACTAGAAAGATTGCTTTCCAGCTAAATGTTGATCATATGACGGTATTTCGAATTTTAAAGGAACATCTCTTATACCCTTACCATCTGCAACGAGTACAGGCACTGTTACCGCGAGACTTTCCGAACCGTCTTGAATTTTGCAATTGGATGCTGGAAATGATTAGAAGAAATCGTGACTTTCTGAAGACGATCGAATTCACAGACGAATGTAGTTTTTCTCGGGACAAGATTATTAATTTTCATAATTACCACATATGGGCTGATGAAAACCATCACGCTATTGTCGAAACTAACCATCAAGAACAGTTTTCTCTTAAGGTGTGGGTCGGAGTTATTGGGGATTATTTAATTGGGCCTCATTTTCTACCTCCTCGATTAAATGGTGAGGCATACGTTCAATTTTTAAGAAAAGTGCATCCCCCCGTACTGCTGGAGGAAGTTCCTTTGGGCGTCAGAAGGGATATGGTTTTTATGCATGATGGGGCTCCCGCCCATTTTAGTCAAGTAGCACGTCAGCATTTAACTGAAACATATGCAAATCAGTGGATAGGTCGAGGAGGACCACAGAATTGGCCCGCTCGATCCCCGGATCTCAATCCTCTGGATTTGTCTACTTGGGGCCATTTGCAGCATTTGGTTTATCGTACTCCTGTTCGCGATGTAGAGGACTTAAGAAACCGCATTATCGATGCGTGCAGGGTAATTAGAGAGACTCCAGGAATATTTGAGCGAATACGTGGCTCAATGCGCCGACGTCTAGACGCATGCGTAATGTCTGAAGGTAGACATATTGAACATTTACTATGATTTCTACATGTTGTATGTTTTGTTATTATTAAATTAGTTTTGATTATTCCCCTTTAATCATTTAATGCAGGTAGTAACTACAAAATAACAGTAAATCCAGTCCGCATTTATGACGATGTATCTCTGTAGTTGTTCGTAAAATAATTTTTTACTGCGAACTGGTTTAATTTGGGCAAAAAATTCAAGAGACATTTTTTTTTAGAATGAAACAGGCTATCGGAAATAATTTTTTAAATGGTAAAAAAATAATAAGACAAAAAATTACGTTGGAAATAAATTTTAGGGGTTGCGTTTTCCACCCCTTACTACCATGGGGTAAACCAAATAAATTACTGGCTAAGTGTCTTTTTGGTAGTAGAAAATGTCAGGTTAATTTCAATATTGTAACTTGTTTAGTGCTTGTGAAAAAAATTGTTAAACAAATTTTATGTACCCCCTTTAAGGGGCTGTATCTTAACAAGGGATGCTCCAATGAAGTTTCTTTATATGAAAGATCCTATCTTTTTTTCGATGAGGAATCACCCCCTTAAATGTTTTACACTTATTTAGTTACACCCTGTATAAAAAATGCATTTAAAAGGATGAATATAGCGGCGATTTGCCTTTTTAACTAAAATCAGAAATTCACCTCTGCGAAAAATGAGAGATGGTTGTTTATTTCCGTGTTATTCTCCGTTATGTAATCTTCAAGGTACATTAAAGCTCTAGGATATTCCCCGCAATGATAATTGCATTTTGCCAGCTGAAGTTTGCAAAGTCTGAGTTGAAAGTTCTGAAAAAATTCAGTTTTTTTTAAACTAAATTACATAATATGTATATAAGCAAAAAATTATTAAATATGTACAATACACACCTTAATTTTTTTATAAAATTCATTAGTAATTCCTTCTAGGCCCTTTTGCCACTGCCACTCCCTTAACCAACGGTCCAAAAAGTCTAACAGTAAGAACACAACTTTTGTGCATTGCATCTGTTTTACTTCTTCGGGAGTTACAATTTGAGGTTCAACTGACACTCCTGGAATTTTCAATGGTCTTAACTAAAAATATACATTATTTAAATCAATGGTACTGTCAATATCTTTAACATTCTTACACCAAGAACGGTCTCATCCAATTTTCGTTTCTTTGTAAAGGAATTGGTAACGGTTTGAAACTCTACAAAAGATTTATCACCGATATCATCAGGTCCTTCTAATAAAGCATGTAATAGAATGTGTGGTAGAAAGTTCATCAGAATACGCTTGCTTTGTTTCATACTAGGTAAACAAACTGTCAAAAGTTGCTTTCTTTCATTTGGGAGTGAGGATAATAGGCTGCATGTCCAGCTAAAAATGTATTTTTATATTGTAGGTTAGATTAGGTTAGGTTTGGTTAAGTTCGGTTAAGTCTAAATACCAGCCCTCCACTGCAACCTTTTAGTCTGTTGTGGCTATGGTTGCGAATTAGGCGGGAGACTTCCGTAATTTTACAGAACATCCTGTTTCAAGCAGAACACTCTAAAACTACTGTATTTCAGTAACTCACTAATATTAATTAAGTTATATATATCGTAACAGAATACAACCGAGGTTGATACAAGTAGAATGTCTCGTGTGTTCCATTTCACGTGAGCGCTACATAACTTTATTATTTTAAATGGAACACCCTGTGTATTATTGCATTTTTGAATTCCGTTAATATTAGGTAGAGTTTATTAATTGTACATGGTGTTTAAAACTTACCGTTTTCGAGATAATCAGTTGTTCTTGAAAAAAATTATGATTTCAGCTCTCTAAATGAGGCTAGATAACGTCTAAACCGTAAGAGTTAGAAACCTGCAGTTTTCATAGTTCGTTTTGGCATAAATTACTCTATCTTGTCATCTGTGAGAAAAACATGTACGTTATTCAGACTCGGAAATACTGAGACCTACATTTAATAATCTTACGAGTTGAAAAACTTTTTTTTTTTCAAATGGAACGACCCATATTAATTGTCATGGGTGAATGCAAAATTGAATGCCATTCAACTGATATAAGATTGTCCATACTTATCTCTAACAGTTAGCCAGAAAAATCAGGTTCTTTTCTAAAGTCCAAAAAAGTAGCTATGTAACAGTGTCAAGAAGGCCTTGCAATTGTATTAGTACAACGTCGATACATAGGATTTTACAAAAGCACAGAACATCCTTATCGCATCCAATTATACCAAGAGTTACTAAAAGTAGACTTTCAGCGGAAACTGGAGTTTTGTCATGTTCTCCGATGAGGCTATTTTTCATAAAAATGGTTTCATTAATAATTATAACTGTAATTGCCATTATTATGACACAGTAAATCCTCACCAATTCCGGACAACTCATAGCCAACGATGGTCTTTCAATGTGTGGGGAGCAATTTTGAGAACCCATGTCATTGGACCAATCTTTTTTGACCAGCATCTAACTGGAGCAGTTTATTTAAACTTTTTAGCAAATACTCTAGAAGATTTGTTAGGCGACATATGCAACATGACGGTGCTCCACCTCACATTACCGCTGCGGTTCGTCAGTTTTTACACAAAACTTTTCCCAACAGACAGATTAGGAGCGGGGGACCAGTGAGTTGGCCTTGGCCAGATATGACAAGTTACCACTTCTTTTTATGGAGATTTATAAAAAGCAAAGTTTACGTTACAGTAGCAATTCAAGAAATTAGGCCAAACATGCTGACCGATGTTGAACAGTCTTTTAAAAACCGAATTTGTTTGTGTATTAATCAAAATAGAAAGAGTACTCAATAATTTTAATGGAAAACGCCAAAAGCTGGTTGCCTATGAGAATACGCAGTTTGAAGCATTGTTAGAAAACATTTAGAAACTAAAAGTTTATCATGTGTTTCATAATCACAGTAGATAAATGTTCATTCAAAATAGAAAGATTAGTAAAAAATAACAAAACCTAATTTTTCAATATAAATGGATGTAATTGCATATTTGAACGTAGTTTTTAGTTCTGATCAACTTTTCTTTATAACAATTTTCAATATTGTCAAATACAAAGGTACTTTACTCTTGAGTAAAATTCATATTTTTTGACAAACCGCGTATACGACTGAAAAAGTTTAATATCCGATGATTGTATATTAGATTTTAGAACATGCAGAATTTTTTATGAATAACTTTTTTTCCTAAAATTAATAATAAAAAAGTTTTCCATATGGTTCCAACTTAGTGAGACATACTCTATAATTTTTGCCAGTGGCACAATTGTCTACTTTTTCTCCATTCATGTGACTCCCGCTTTTAGTGTTTTCTAAATCTAGCACACTAATTGCAGCTCATACTTACTAAAATAATATTTGAATCTAGCGGCTTAGTAATAAAGTGCAGGAACAGCTCATAATGAACTTGTGATACTTCTCTTTTAAAATATAATTATTTTTACACTGCATATGATAAAAAACAATCTTACCAAATTGAGGTGGTATAACACATTACAATTAAGTAATAATTGTTAATTATTTTAAAATACTGTTACCCACATGTAAATCATTACAAATTTTATTACTCACTTGTATAACCAAGACTGGAAAGATGCACCTACATTGGAACCATAGATAGGAACTGGAAAATTGTTATTTACGATCGGTTGGGCTATCATATACCTAGAGCTTAGTAATGGCAACATTACTTCTTTGTGCGATTCGGGAAATTGCTCCCAAAGATAATATTTACTGCTAGATTGATCGGAAGAAATGTCGTAATCTTTTAATATCTCCTGTATAGCTAGGGCATATCTATCCATGTTCTATGTAAATAAAAATGTGTTAAGTGGTGACTGGAAATGTCGTACCGTACTTACCTGAGTATTCTTCTCTGTTTGCAGTGCCCTTATTAATTCATTTAGCAGGTTTATGATAAAACTGTCCTCGTTCATAAAGAAAGAGAATGATTTGTCGGTTTCTTGAGTGTATCTGAAAGTATAATTGAAAAAATCTATTTCGTTACAAAATGTATCTTAAATACAAAAAAATATATTAGGAATTCCTTCCTGTGATAGTTTTCAAAAGAAAAATTCGTATGGGTCTATGCCCTAATATTCAGTGTCTCAGTTTCATCTTTAACGATACTTGAGAAATAAATTTAAAAAACAGAAAGCTATAACACCCCATAGGAGGGTGGTCTGAAAAGTTTCCGACCTCAAGATGAAGATGACAGCACTCGTAAATATAAGCTAATGAATTTCGTTGTTCATCTGTTGACAATTACTCACCAAAGTTTCAGCCATTTTGGACGCGCAGTTGTTATGTAACAGTCGTTTGAGTGAGTTGATGTGAGTGTTTTTATGAAAATGGACAAAATCGAGCATCGAGCTGTCATTAAATATTTGTTTTTGAAAGGCAATACGTCTACACAAATTAAAGATGAGTTGGATTCTGTGTATGGGGACTCTGCACCATCATTTACCACAGTGAAATTTTGGGCAGCTGAATTTAAACGTGGCCGTAAGAGCTTGCGAGACGATGAACGTTTGGGGACGTCCAAAAACTGCAACTACCGACGAAAACATTGCCAAAGTTCACCAAATGGTGCTAGACGACCGCCGAATTAGTGAGAGAGATAGCAGAGGTTATGAACATGTCAAAAGAACGTGTTTGTCACATATTAAATCAACATTTAAACATGAGAAAGCTGTCCGCGCGTTGGGTGCCGCGTTTGCTCACATTAGACCAAAAACGTGTTCGAATGAACATTTCCAACGCTCTGTTGGCGCAGTTTAGGCGCGATAAAACCGAGTTTTGGCGCCGATTAATTACTGTAGATGAAAATTGGATACGCTATTATACGCAAACAAACAAAAACTGTTTTTTTGGCTAGGAAAGTGATGGCGACTGTTTTTTGGGATAGTCATAGAGTTATTTTAATCGATTATCTTCAAAAAGGAAAAACCATTACAAGAGCATACTACGCATCATTACTTGACAAGCTGAAAGCAGAACTTGCGGAAAAACGGCCACATTTGCAGAAAAAGAAAATCCTGTTTCACCAAGACAACACATCGTCTCACACCTCAGCGGTTGCCATGGTGAAAATCCACGAATTACGGTTTGAACGGTTTGACCATCCGCCTTACTCACCAGATCTAGCCCCAAGCAATTTCTTTTTGTTCCCTCATCTAAAAATTGCGCTCGGAGGACCGAGATTTTCGTCAAATGAAGAGGCAATCACCTCCGTGAACGATTATTTTGCAGAGAAAAACGCCGAGCACTATTTGGACGGGACGGGTTACAGAGATGGGAGCATCGCTGGGAGAAGTGTGTAGAGTTACAAGGAGACTATGTTGAAAAATAAAAAAAAAATCTGAAAAAATGTCTTGTATCTTTGTTAGGTCGGAAACTTTTCAGACCACCCTCGTATTTGGAAAGCTAAGCTGTTTAGGGCATAAGTTTTTCTTCTTAAAATTATCCAAGGAATTATTTTTCTATATATTTTTACATATGTGTGTTAGTAATATTTAGTTATAGGGACATTAAATAAGTCCTTGCTATTTTCTAATAGATGGTGGATGGATCTTATGAACCTGTTAAAAAAAGTCGATTTTTGAATAGCCTCAAAAGACGTATTGTTTTTCCGATATGGCATTAAATAACTGCCAGAATGATGGGAAAAAGTAGTGAATGGACAATAGTTTCAGTGACATATTTTTTACTATAAAGCATTACTTTTCGTGAAAAAAAGCGAGAACTTATTCAAATCCCATTAATTATGTTACCTTCGTGGTAAATGACTTGGTTCTATTGCGCCTAGCTCGCCAAATACCTCTCCGCATGCCAATTTTAAAGCCTCGTCTTTTTCCCGACAACCTAATGTTAACGTGTCGATAAGTTCTACAATCATATCGTCAATGCCGTTATAGTCCAATATCATCTGGTCTAATTCTTCTCTGCTCTGAACCAGATAGTTTTTTAATTGTTTCAAGCCCTGTAGTCTTACCTCCATGGCCTCATGTGACAAGTATTTTAAAAATGCTTGAATTTTCTGTTTCAAATTAAAATCTTCTAAGGGTTGCAAAGCGTTTTTTATCACGTTAGATACGTCATGATCCACATTTGCATTATTCACAAAAAATAAATCGGAAATGTAGTCCCTTGTATAAGCTTCCTTTTCTATAATGAGATATTTGAAAATAGCATTTGTCTCTCTAGGGCAATGGTCCAATAACGGCTGCATAGAAACAAATATCGTAGCCAACTGCGGCCCTAGAGATTCAATCTCGCAGGAGCGTATGAAAGAGTTCCACACTTCACATATTAAATGCGGATAATTTTCATATTTTATCGTCTGAAGCATTGCGATTATCTTAAAACGTAACGGCATGATATGTTTGGGACCCATAAATTTAAATAAGTCCGCTAAACTTTGTAAAAACCCCTCTTTCTTTGAATTCCTCGAAATCAGTCTAACATCAAAGTACAACAAAATTCCGAGGAAGTGCGGTTGAAGGTAATCGGGAATCGAATTCGATTTATTCTCTTTGTCTTCATCAGTCAGGATGGTTAAGGCTAGTATGACCCTATCCCTTTTTTCGTGAAAGTTCAGGAGTAGCTCATTTAAAATGATCTATAAATAAATATTTTATTTTATTATAATTACAGATAGACAGAGTCTTTCAGAGAAATTACTGTCAACACCAGCACATTTAAATCTTTTCTACAGGAAAGACTAGTGTGTTGTAATGAATAATATTTATACATCCGAGGAAGAGATACTTTAGCACAGATGTACCAATGGGTTCCGTTACTGGACCCATATTATTCTTAATTTTTATTAATGACATCCACAATTGACACCATTTCTTATAACATTAAGTATTAAATGCTGGGGTTTCATTTCATTTCATTTCATTTCATTTCATTTCATTTACTCACCCTGAAGTTCCTTTTCCTTAAAGCGGACCCACTCATCCCAGTTGTTTTTTCCAAAAAAAGCATACACTGCTTAAAATCATCCTTTGGCAGTTCCTCCAGAAATATGTAGATGAAAATATAACCATACTTGCAAGATAACATCTCCGACACATCTAACTCCATTAACAAGGCCATCTCTTGTATTAACTTTGTGACTGCAGGCATTTTAATTGTTTTAGCAATAAAAAATGGTAGAAGGTAATTACTCTCTTGATTTAAAAAATCTTTGGGGCTGTAGAACCCCAACATGAGCGAAACTTTTTCTAAAGAATTCACCAGGGTATAGTTAATAAGAACTTGATTTACAGAACTGAGATGAACAATAACCTTACACAGCTCTTTTTTGTTTTGGCTGTAGATCGAAGTGGTGGTCATTTCATTCGCTTTGGCCAACTTGAAACATTTATTTACAGCAAGCAACGAATATTTTGACGTGGGAATCATAATGAAATATATTAAAATTGTCATAGATTCCACCATAATGGTTTCATGTTTCATCATCGAAATTTCTTCCATTGTTCTTAACAGGGTATCTTGTAACACGTAATCGGAAAATTGTAATGATTTTTTTGTTAAACTGAGAAGTTTGTTAAATACTATTTCCAGAATGTCTTTTTTAGTGTCTTGAGATAATATGGAATTTTCCTAAAATAGAATATGTTTTGTAGTTCAAAACCGTTGAATTTTGAGATAGTGGGTGTGGAAGTAAAAAAAAGTTGATATTTATTCAAATGGAGTGGAGTTCGGTTATACCAAGGGTCGGCAAGTAATTTTAGGTGGAGTCCGAATACATTTGAAAATTTTTAAGGAGGTCCAGAAAAAAAACTCGTATTCCTTACTAATTTTTTGTTTTAATTTGCACTCACAAAATAATATGATAGATAGGCATATTTGTATTCAAAAATCAATTGTTATCTATAGAAAAATATTTTTTTTAAATAATTTGACTTTCAAAAAATTTTTGGCGGTCCAGTTTTTATCTTTCGCGGTCCGGATCTGGACCGCGGTCCGCCAGTTGCCGACCGCTGGGTTATACCAATATCTCAAGTGACAGTGAAATCACGTCATACTAAAAGATACATTTAATGACAAGCAAACCGAAAATGAGAGAGATAGAGAGAGGGATGAAGAGGGAGAGCAAGGGGGAAATGGTGATGGAGGGGGGATGAAGTGGAAGGAGAGGGATGGAGAGGGATGTGGTAGGAAGGGTGAGGGGAAGGAGGGAAAGAGAGATCACTAGGAGTTAATTTTAGTAATCCCATAATATGATCTCAGTCATTAACAGTGGAGTCGTAATAACCAAACTCCACTGTATCTGTGAAGATGTTAGACTTACGAAAATTGGGCTGTTGATATTATTAATTAAAGGCAAAAATTCACTGAATTGATAAATATTGGAAGCAATTTAAATGTATTCTATTCTGTGCTACCTATTTTAAAATAAAACAAAATAACTTCAAAGCTCATAAAATGACAAAAATATAAAAAAAATTACTTTTTTTAGTTTGAGTTTAAATTTGTTTTGCATTCTTTTAAATTTCCTATTTAATTGAAATTTTGTTTTCCATATTGCCTTATTGATTTTTTTTAAATAATTAGATAATTAAAAATGATATTGTAATTGAAATTATTTAATTATTATTATTTCATTAATTGAAAAGCAAAATTCAAAGGATTATACAGGGTAGGAAAGTACCGATGGTCTATCTGAAGTTACGTGAGAGCGATAAAGTAAGCCATAGAAATCCATGCGATAGAGAAGGATGGCTATAATGAAGGTGTGTCATAGTCACCGCCCGTTTCGCCCTTCCACAAATAAGATCCACTTGTTATTTGTGGAAGGGCGAAATGGGCGTTGACTATTAGACGCCTTCATTATAGCCATCCTTGTCTATCACATGGATTTCTATGGCTTACTTTATCGCTCTCACGTAACTCCTGATAGACCATCGGTACTTTCCTACACTGTATATAATTTTTTCAGATTACACTATGACATTTAAGAAAGTGTTAACTACACATAGCAACATTTTAATAGAACGATAAAAAACTAAGTTTTAAAAATGTTATTAGTCAGTTTTTTCTAACAGAAACGGCACAAAAATTTGTAAAATAGGCTACAATTAGATCATTTTTGTTTTAACAGTCTATTGAAATTTAAAAATAAGCAATACTTAAGGAAAAGAAAGTAGAATTTATCTCTGTTCCTTTAAATGTACCAGTTTATTTAAAATATTTCTTTTAAGGGAGGCATTTTTATGCGTAATTTTCAGTGAATTTATAGCAGTTATTTGATAATGGTTTTGCAAAATCTAAGCAAGTTAGAAACAATATTTCTTCACTGTACCATTTATACAAGTTTTCTCCAAGGCATGATACAGGTTACAAGCTGACAATACATTCAGAATAAGGAAAAAGGGAATATTTTTACATCTTATGTTTGTGATTACATTTCCTGAACTTTAGACGCCTGTTGAATATACAGAAAATCACATACAGTACTAGAAACATAATCACACCCCACAGAATGCTTTTATAAAACTATGTACATGAATGAATTATAATTATTGAGTATTTTTTGCGAAATTCTCGACAAAACAGGAAAGGTATATTCTGATGTTTACTCGGTTGCCTATGTTCTCCATGTCCGTCATCTTTCACAGTGAAAAATTAAAAGGAATCCTTCTTGTACTATCATTGTGTCATTAGAAATCATGTCACGTTTTAACAACTATATGGACATATCTAACTTCTAATAAATATGATATTTTAAGTTCGTTATGGAATTTTAGTCTAAAATGATCCAAGAGCAACTTCCTGAAGTTATGAAATGAGCTTGGAAAACATTATGTATATTAAATATATTTATATACCTGTTCATGTCCAACAGTTAAATAAACCACATCAGCAAATTTCTCACGCACTTTCTTGTTTTGGTCTCCAGCAAGTTCTATCCAAATCTTTGCAACGCTTGCAAAATGGAATTGTAAGACATGACTAGAAAAATATGGTAGTGCTTCTAAAGCTGCCATCTTTATATCTGCTGTACCAGTTGTAAAAACTGTTAGAGTGGGTTTCAGCAAAAAATTTGAAAGAGAAGGTTCAAATTGAATTTTTTGGAAGGTAATTCCGACTGCATCTTCACCGAATCTTGGTTTTACAAAATTATCAACATCCTCGTTTTTTAAATCACATTTGACGCAGCATATTTTTATAGTAAGTTTATTTTCAGTATTATTCCACTTTAGAACGTTTAGGAAGTCGGATGATAAACAACACAAAATATTTGGCACTATATTCATTGACTTTTCCTGGATTGTTTTATGAGACATAAAAAAAATTGGCTTGAAAATATTTAAAATTAAGTTTTCCACATCTTTGAATACATTGAGGAGATGTGGCACTGCTTCAATTATCTGCAAAGAAAAAAAATGTATAATTTCACAAATATTTTCATTGAAACTACTAAACTAATTGATGATTAAAAAACTTAAAATAGACAGAATTTCGAAAATACCTTTAAAAAGTTTCTCTTAATTTAAATATAATACATATTACACATACAGTATGACTCATTAAAAACCAAGACACATTTCTAAAACTTTTTGGGACATACCTACGAATCCAATAATTTTTTTTTATAAACAGTGGCTTTCTAGATGCAGGTGTTTGTTAAGGTTAGTAAGCCAGATTTTTAATAAATACATGCCCAAAGATATTGCAACGAGCCACATATTACGAACTGGAGCATTGTAATTGCTAAATACATTTAGATGGCCAATAAGTACTTATAAAAAGAATTATCAAAATCATGTCCCAAAAATTTTTTTAAATGGCTGATCTAGTTCTTAATGGGCCACACTGTATTTTAATAACTTTAGTAAAAGTTTTTTTATAACCGTTAATGGATATTTATATTTTCCAATTCTCAATTAAATGTTACATACTGAAAATAAACATCTTTTTAAAGATCATTGAATATTTTTTTACTTACCAACAGTATAAGTTCTTCATTGTTCGATTCTATGACATTTGTACAAATTTTCATATATAACTTCTCGATTTGTTGAACTTGTGAGGTGTTCAAGATCAATAAACTGCTCGACATAACAATAAAAAGTTCATTTATGTGCTGAAGAGAAATATTCTTGTCCACATTTTGTGTGGATAAAGAGGAATAGAATAATTTAATTCCTCTTTTAATTTCACTCAGTGCCCCCATTCCGATAAAGTTTTCAGGGAGTTCATTAATATTTTTATAACAAGAAGGATAGAGCAGAGGAAAGGCCAAAAAATGAAATATAATATCAACATTTTTTGAATTTGAAATAAGGATTAAGTTTATGAAAAATCTTAGACATCGTTCAGGTTTAACCTCTGTACTACCACAATTATTACAGTGAGCATTGTATTTTATAAGAAAATATAACAAGATTTCTTTTTCTTCAAAAAAATATAAACTTTTACTTTTCTCGATTTTTTTAAATTCCATTATGATTTGTAATAACATATCTGTAATATTTTCAAAAAAATCTAAAAATTTTGTTATACTACATGTATTCCTACATTGCATTTCTTTTAAATTTTCTAGAATTCTTTTATAAATTGTTTTCCATACATCACATGTATCGATTTGATATAAATTTAAGTATGACTTTTCATCCTTAGATTCACAAATTTCATTGAATATTATATTTTTAAAACAATAAACAGGTAAACCACTGGAAAAGTTAACCATTTGACAAACTTTTTTAAAAAATCTTTCATCTTTCTCATAACTCATATTATAGTTATTAGTTTTAATAACCATAAGTAATACATTTTTGGATGGTAAAAACTGATTTTCTGTTTCTAAATATTTTGAAACAATAAAGTTACCTATCCTCCTATTATTATTACAATTTATGTCACTACTAAATTGTAAGTATGATATCAGTAAAGTCTCAAGTTTCTCCTTGTCTTCATTTTTAAATCCGACTTCTGTATTATAAAAATGATAAACATTCTGTTCAAAAAGTGACGAAAATATTCTAAATTTTTTTATTATATCTAAATCATATTCCTCAAAACCATGTTTTGGTTGACTGTAAATATTAACAAAAATATCAGTTATATCTAATTTCATCGGAAAGTCTATCACAGACATTAAATATAAGATGGCATCAAGAGATTTTAAGGTACTTTCATCAAAACTAAAAAATAAAAAATTTTCTAGTAGAATATATTTAAGAAATTTTATTAATTTCCCTATTAGTACGATGCATTTTTTTCTTGAGGTAATTTCTATATATATTTGAGTTAAATCAAGTTTGGTATTCAAATCAGTAAATGTTGTAGGTACGAACACATGAAGTAAAAGTTTATCGTGTGGCTCCTTGTAATAATTAACTAAAGACTCAAATGCTCGGTGGTACTCTTTTGCTAGCTCATGATAAATATGTACTTGAGTTTTAGACAGTTGTTCCAAAATAGACAACTGGGTCTCAATAATAATATCGTGAATTTTTGAAAATCTATCATATCCTAATAAATAAAAAAACTGTCCTAAAAGCCAAGTTGTGAATGCTTTATATTTTTCTCCTATTTCTTGATACTGCTCAAAGGAGACTTGAGGATCTCGACTGTAAATAAAAATATTTGAAAATTCTTTTGACTGTATGATGCCAGCTAATCTTTTAACGCCTGATTCTGAGCAATCTCCCTTAATTAATACAGGTACTGTATCATTAAACATTTTCCACATTCCAAATGCTGGAATATCATTTTCAATTGTTGACATTTTTAACCTAAAATTTAATACATGATACATTATAATTAGAGTTCCTATTTATGATATACCTATTTTTATAATGAATAATATCTTAATCGAATATTTTGTGCAGGTTTTTAGAAGTTTATAATTTCGTTACCTAAATATTTCAACTGAAACTATTTAATAAACGAATAGTAGTTATGTATTTGGACTACTTGGCGCGAAAATAAGCTTGTGATCAGGGGTTTTCGGATGATCTGAGATCAGATCAGATGGATCAGTACAGTTGTTTTCCGAATTGAAGAAGTATTTTTGTATTTAAAAACAAATATTTAATTCATTATAACTGTTTTTGAATGCCATAGGACGGACAATAGAGACAGATCCAAGTTTTAACATTAAAATATTGTAAAAAATCTTTTTTAAATGGTTTACCTTTCGAACGACAAGATAAGTGATCCTACTGATCGAGTTAATAAGATCACAGTCTCTGAACACCCCTTCGGGCATATACCCACTAGAGGTAGCCTTCAATACTAAACGAGCGAGGCGTGCGAGAGAGAAAGCACATTATACTGTAAGCTATCTCTCTCGCTCCGTAATGTGAGGTGCTGGAGCACGGTCCGTAAAATTACGAACCATGGTGCTGGAGATTTATTACTCTGAGGGGGGATCACGGGGTCTAATTCTCAACCAATAAAATTTACGGAGTGAGAAATAGCTTGTAGTTTTATTTGCTTTCTCTCTCGCACGTCTGTTTGCTCATTTAGCTTTGAAGGCTGCCTCTAGTCATATATTTATAAAACCTATATTGAGTCTAATTATCCAAAAGTGTAACAAACAATATAGTCCGGGAGGCAGCGACAGAAATTTTGCACCAATTCCTACAAAGCTGATTTTTTCTCATTTTGTTGTTTTGATATCGTAAGTAAACGGAACGGCAGTCTACCGCGCCAATGTGGGGGCAAACGTTAGTAACAATTTTTTAAACATGTAAATAAATAATACTTAAATGCCTTATACCTACAAGGCTGAAACTTTTTAGAGTGATCAATTATACCTAAAAATACAGTATAGTGATAGTCTACCGCGTCGGAAGGGGGGCCATCAAGGGTCTACCACCCACGCAAGGTGTTGAAAAATTAACTTTTTTGACTTATTTCTACAAGGCTGAATTTTTTTCTCAAATACTTTAGTTTATAAGAGAACCAAAAAAAAACAGTCTACCGATCATCTAAGGGTGCAAAGCCTTGATAGACGCAATGGAATGCACGATCTCCCGAGCGCAGTCGCTGCGCCGATTCACTGTAAGCCGCTCTGAATAATAACTCATACCGGGATTAAATTACAATCTACAAAGCTGCTTTTTTGTCTATAGATATCTTACAATAATTATTGTCAAATAAACGTCTTATACCTTCGATACGAGGTGGCTAAAGCTTCGGTAGACGTGGCGAAAGTTTTTGCGCGGAAGTTGCTTAAAATTCCAAATTTATTATTAATTATAATTTTTTGAGCTTACACCATTATTTAAACGTATGATATAGTAACAACGAGCGAGCGTTAGCGAGCGAGATTTTTGCTAGTATAATAGGTATTAACAAAAGTTAAAAAATTTTTTTTTTCAAATAACTGACCTTTTTCTTTTTTAACATTGAATAATTAAATTTATTTCACTTTTACTTATAATTTATAACAATAATACTTTTCGATAATAGCGCGCGAAATGCTTGATTTGCGATTCATCATCACATTCGTCAATTACACTCGTGCGAGAATTATTCTATCGCACTAGTATCGAACAATATTTTACGACACTTATTTATAAAATAAATGATAACAACGCAAATGTTTTTTATTACAACAATATAGTAATTATATAAAAAATAAATATATTTTTCTTATTCCTCATCGCTACTGACATTTGATTCCTCATCGCCTTCCATATCATCACTATCTTCATCCTCATCATCTTTCTGGTCACACACTCCATCATTTTCTTTAAGGTATTGACAACCGTCATTTGCAATTTCTGTATCTGCAAATAGCAATATATTATTAAATATTTATTATATTATGCTAACATAAATTCACCCCCTTTAGGGTCTGAAAGTCATTTTTTAATTGAGTTTTAGACTTCCTTAAAATGCAAATATGTGTACCTGAATCTTTATCGTTCTGTAGATCAAACGTCACATCATCGATTGACTGAGGCAATTGGTCGCCACTAAACCAATTAAAATCATATCTTGCATTCTCATCCACTTTCCAGCCACAGTCGAGTGGGGATAATGTTGTAGGCTCTTTTAAGTGAGCATTACTCCAAATTTGTGCAATATATGCTGTTCGGAGTATGTGTTCTCGGAGCTCTGATTGACAAGGTGGTAAAGCAGATGCATCGAAACTCTTGACCTTTTGACGAAAGATTTTATCGTTAGTAGTTTTGTAAGCTTTCAAAAACATCACTGATCGATGTGACGTTTGATCTACAGAACGATAAAGATTCAGGTACACATATTTGCATTTTAAGGAGGTCTAAAACTCAATTAAAAAATGACTTTCAGACCCTAAAGGGGGTGAATTTATGTTAGCATAATATAATAAATATTTAATAATATATTGCTATTTGCAGATACAGAAATTGCAAATGACGGTTGTCAATACCTTAAAGAAAATGATGGAGTGTGTGACCAGAAAGATGATGAGGATGAAGATAGTGATGATATGGAAGGCGATGAGGAATCAAATGTCAGTAGCGATGAGGAATAAGAAAAATATATTTATTTTTTATATAATTACTATATTGTTGTAATAAAAAACATTTGCGTTGTTATCATTTATTTTATAAATAAGTGTCGTAAAATATTGTTCGATACTAGTGCGATAGAATAATTCTCGCACGAGTGTAATTGACGAATGTGATGATGAATCGCAAATCAAGCATTTCGCGCGCTATTATCGAAAAGTATTATTGTTATAAATTATAAGTAAAAGTGAAATAAATTTAATTATTCAATGTTAAAAAAGAAAAAGGTCAGTTATTTGAAAAAAAAAATTTTTGAACTTTTGTTAATACCTATTATACTAGCAAAAATCTCGCTCGCTAACGCTCGCTCGTTGTTACTATATCATACGTTTAAATAATGGTGTAAGCTCAAAAAACTGTAATTAATAATAAATTTGGAATTTTAAGCAACTTCCGCGCAAAAACTTTCGCCACGTCTACCGAAGCTTTAGCCACCTCGTATCGAAGGTATAAGACGTTTATTTGACAATAATTATTGTAAGATATCTATAGACAAAAAAGCAGCTTTGTAGATTGTAATTTAATCCCGGTATGAGTTATTATTCAGAGCGGCTTACAGTGAATCGGCGCAGCGACTGCGCTCGGGAGATCGTGCATTCCATTGCGTCTATCAAGGCTTTGCACCCTTAGATGATCGGTAGACTTTTTTTTTTTGGTTCTCTTATAAACTAAAGTATTTGAGAAAAAAAATTCAGCCTTGTAGAAATAAGTCAAAAAAGTTAATTTTTCAACACCTTGCGTGGGTGGTAGACCCTTGATGGCCCCCCTTCCGACGCGGTAGACTATCACTATACTGTATTTTTAGGTATAATTGATCACTCTAAAAAGTTTCAGCCTTGTAGGTATAAGGCATTTAAGTATTATTTATTTACATGTTTAAAAAATTGTTACTAACGTTTGCCCCCACATTGGCGCGGTAGACTGCCGTTCCGTTTACTTACGATATTAAAACAACAAAATGAGAAAAAATCAGCTTTGTAGGAATAATTACATCAATAATGTCGCTGCCTCCCGGGCTAATAGGGTTCCGACGTATATTCCCATTCGTGTTTGTCACGGCCCGCACTTATAAAGCGTCTGCGCAAAACAATCAAGGCGATTGGCTGATTTATGATTATCGATCGGTTTTTCGGGATATCTCATCTAACCTAACATTTCGATTTCGAAATTGGGATATTTCTAAGTGTTATATTTAAGCGTTTGTGATTATATACTAGTTTACTATCAATTAAGAATAGGGGTACATTTATTTTTCCATCGTCAGATGTTTATTCTGTTTGTAAAATCTGCGAAAGAATATTTCGTGAAAACATTCATGATATATTTGTAAAGAAAAATATAAAACAAATTCTTGTAATTAAAATTTTTGTGCAGGTGGGCCACTTATTTAATACAGAATATATGGATGATCACATAAAATCACAGTCAGAAATTGATAATCATAAAGTGCAGCTAATAAAATTGATAATATTGAATTATATATTAAAATTAGATTATTTCATGAAGCCAAAGTAAGTTCTGAAAAAAATGAGTATATTCGACATAGATACAGCAAATTAATTCATTTCAAACATCAGTAGATAGGCGATAATATAAATTGTAATAAATATAGATACATTCTAAGTTTTTTAAAACTGTATATTGTACATACTCACTGTAAGTTTAATAAATATTTTTAAATACCATTCACTTGTGTTTTCATTATAGAGATGGCAATAGATATTATATTGTGATATAGTATCGGTTTATTCTCTACCTCCTTAAGTCAATTTTGCATTATCATATGACATATAACAATGAGTGTAGCTGTTTATTTTGGAGAGTGAATATTAAGTTATAATTATCAATAACATAACTAAGAAATTCTATACTACCCAGAAAAACTCATATAATTAGCAATTGACAATGCAAATTGTTTCCTTTTGAAGATAGCGATGGGAAGTATCAAAATATTTCTATAAAAACAGTTATACCTAAGCTTAACTTATGTTAAAAAATAATTATTGCATCAAACTTTTATAGCATAATTCTTCATCTTAAATTATTTGCAGTTTTATTATGTAGAAATAATCTAAATTAATACTAAGGGAACTTTATTTCAAACTCATGTAAAATGTTAAACTTATAAATAAGGTTATGAGTCAATTATGAGATGGTAACTGAATTTAATTAAATTTTGAAATTATACTACAAAAATTATTTTATGACCACGTAAGCAGAATGTTTTCAAAAATTATGAAATTAAATAACTGCCGCGGAAAAGTTGCGGTTCAGGCATGCGCAAAAGTTGCGGGGGACTTGAAGAAGCAGTTCAAACTTATATGTTTTTGCTCTCTCTCTGATTATCACGATATTTACCTACTGTCTTTTATGCAAAGGCTCAATATAGGTTTTATAAATATATGCCTCTAGTACATATATGCTCGAAGGAACACCCCGATCTGATGTAATGCAAAGGCAAGATGTCTAAGAGTCATTCCACACAACAGTCGTCCCATGGCCCGTACCATGGTACGCACAAAATATGTAATAGATGGTACGCGCGCCTTGGCCCGGGTCGTGTGAATACGCCTACCTATCTATATATTTTTATTAATGTAACCGCGCGCCATTATTCTATGGCTAGAAATTGGCCTCAATGATTTGGGATCGAGGGGGATTATCCCTCTTTATCCTGCCTCATCTCGTGTAGGCCTGGACAGCCTTCGTAGGTGGGCCCCATCCGTCGTCTACCCCGACCGCAAATGCGGCCGGTGTAGGCGCTTTGTGGGACCTCCTTTTGTCCTGGCTGGGCCCCGCCGGCTAGGGCCCTTTCTTCTGGCGCTCTTCTTGCTTCGCCGGCTCGTCTGTGTAAACCCCGGGGGTAGTGTCATGTTTATGTGTGGTATGGTTGGGTAGGGTAGTGCGGCTATGCAGCCCGGGATGCGCTTTGCTAAGGTGGCCCTTAGGCTAGCGCGGGAGGGGAGGGGTAAGGAGGGTATGGGGGGTGTGTATGTGTGTGTGTGTGTCGTTGTCTTCGTTTCTTGATCCTGGCTGTCTCTGAAACAGAAAAGGTTAGCGGGCAGGTAGGGGGAGACTACACTAGTCTCCCTGTCCCTGGTATGGGCCATGAGTCTATGGCCATGAGGCACTGTTGTGTGGAATGACTGTGTAGGTAAATCATATATATAGTAGTATTACATATATGAGGTAAATCAATTTTCCCGTATGAGTTTGTGCTCCTTGTCTAGACTCCCTGATACACGTGACCAATAAACTGTTAGTCGATTGGTCAGATTTAATGTAATGTTGTTTCATGTAATGTTGGTACTACTGATATAAAATGCTGACTGTGGAGTTTACTGATTTCACTGTACTCACTTTGGGGGAAATCCAGAAGTGTTTCTGCATTCTTGGATGGCAACTGCGTAATTATATTTGTACTGTTTGTAACTCAATAAAAAGTGTATACCATCGTTGTATCTACAAAAAGGTAAATGATAACAACGATTATATTACCCGTTATATCAAAATTGTCTTTTCTTTTTAGTAATATGGAAAGAACAGTATTAAAATATTCTCCAAGCTATTGGGACACCTGTCTTGAAGATAATGAACAATTCAAAGTAGGAAGTTCATCGGAGGAATTTCGAATAATTGCGTATCAAACAAAACAGGCAACAAGGAATAGCAACCTTCATATCAAAAAAATTCTTAGAAACCAAAATATACACGATTTTGGACAATTGCTCATAAGAGAGCAACTGATGGCCGTTCTAAGGTCTTATGAAAAATATTACAGGGTAAAGTAACGACACTATATTTTTTGATTTAATTTTCAAGATTGATAATTGTACATTTGTAATTATATTCCATGAAATTAATTAGATACGTAATCATTAATCGTTCAAAAACTTTTTTTAAAGCCAATGTTGAATATTATATTTTGGTATACGGATCATTTTTGCTAAAGTAATACAGCTGCATGGAAGTGATATTATACTAAAAATTTCATATTTAGTTCCTTGAGAAACAATAAAATAAACATTTTTTAGGTACGACGATTTATTACAATAAAGAAGCAGTTCCTAACAAATGCCCTACAGTATAATTTAGACCACAGAAGATGTGGCAAATCTAGTTTAATCTTTGGAAAATATTTGACTTACGTAGGTGATGATGATGTGGTATTGGTTGTGCAGGTTTTAACAAATAGTCCTAATTCGGACTGTATTGCACCCGCCAATAGTTCTGATTATTTCATAGATTACATTGTTTACCTTTAAATGTATTAAAATCTGTTTTTATTTCTTATTAAAGTTAAGAAGATATTTCAGTATAACTAGACTTACATTAATATAAAAACTGTTTAGTAATTGTTTTTGAATAGTTACTTTATTTTATGTGATTATGGGTTTTTATGGTTTGCGAGTTCGAATTAAATAGTATTCCTCACTCAGCGCTGAAAGACAGAAACTATACTGTTCTATATTAAAAGGTTTTCACTTTTATTAAATTTCACCCTTAGATTACAAATATTCAATATATTTGTATTAAAATCGTTTGTTGGGTAATATGTATTTAAATTTATCACATTTTAAATGTTAAAATATTTAATGCACATCAGGTCGTGATGAAAAACTGTTAGGATTTGATTTGTAACTTCATTGTCATTCAAGATATCAGAAAGTAAACTATAATTAATTAATAAAATATATTAATTTTTGTAAAATGGTAAATTCCAAAAACAATTGAGTGAGCATCACATTTTAGAGTTGTATGTTTAATACCAACTTTATTTTTTTTTTGTGGAATACTTTGTGTAGGTACTTCTACATGTTCTGTCGGAACGCTTTTCCAGGATTACAGAATGTAAGAATTTTTAATATTAAGAGATATGACCAAAATAATGTGGAATAAGCATAATTTATTTAGAGATTGTTATTGCAGTCAATAAGCAATAAATCAAATTCTTGTACGTAGATAGGCTCGCCGTAATATCTATATTCTTATAATCATGAGAGACATATATCTGAAATGTGATACTTACTATTTACATATGGCGAAGTTACAGTTGACAACCATTAATAATGTACACATTGCTTAAAATTATCTTTTTTGAACCCAAACCATAAATAAAATCCCTGTTTTTATTTTTAATGTTTATTATATTACATGTCAAATGTGTTAGAATGTTTTATATGTATGTTTCATATATTAAAATATATTGATGTTTTGAAAATGCTAATTTCATTCATTTTAATACACATCCAAAAATAGTTTTTTAATTGACTTTTTTTATTCTTAAATATATTCTTACTTACTTATTAGGTACTGTTATGGTAAGTATTGGAGAAAAAGAAAACTGATTTTTGTCATGGGAAATAAAGCAACGTTCACAATAAGTCCCTGATTTTTTTCAGAAATTTGGATAATCTTTCATTACAATAGATACCTATGCCATTAATTTAAAAAAGTGATATGGATTATAACGACCTTGACTAATTAAAAATAAGGTAAGGTTATTTTTTTTATTTAAATCTTGTTTAAAAATTAAATATTTAAGATTTGAAGTTTGTTTTTATAGTGTTTACGCTAAGGTTTATAATTTAATTGGAATAAAGATAAGTTAGAAAATAGTACATCGTTTAAACTTTAAACATATTCATTACTTCTTTCTGATGAATAATTTGCATAAGAGTAATGTGAATGGAATGGTGTTTTTAAATTATTAAATTTCCCTTATCATACATCATCAATTTTCTCCTGATAGGTATAGACCAAATATATGGAATAAAGGAGATTTTATGAATAAATTCTAGATGGATAGGAATATTATTTTTTTAGTGGTATAAAAAATACAAGTGGGAATAGTATAGTCTTTCCGATATCAATTGAAGAACCAAGAGGTTGACGGTATGTACCAGGTTCGGTCGCTGTCCCAGCAACTCGGCATTGAAATATTTGAAAAACTTCTTCCCATATTTATTTAGCCATACCCATATATAGGTCTTGTTGAACTAAACGTGGAGGTGGTAGAAATGTATACGCCCAGTTGAAGAATGCGAGCGCGGGCAAAGGAAAACAAACACAGCTGCATTGGGCTGCTGGGCAATAAATCTCAGCAGTTGACAAGTGGTTGATAAATTGCCCAGCAGTGCAGTGCAGCAATGCGGAATTTGGTATGATTCAGGTAATTTTAATTTATTATAGGCACCTTATTCTATCAATCATTCATATTACAATTGCGAAAGGGAGAAATAAGAGGGATATTTTGTTTACCAATATTATCACATGGCATTTTGGAAACCTTTTGAAACGGAACAAAACGAAATTTACCAGCAATATAATAAAATTGTTTGAGGACATAAATAATTAAAATATGTTGTTGGCCAAATGAACATTTAATAGAAATTTTCTACACATATACAAACTATTATAATTTTTGACCTTTAGCAGAAAACTTTTTTAGGGACGCCTATGAAACTCATAAAATTTTATTGCCAGGCTTTTTTTACATGTTCAACTGACTTCGGAAAGACTATAATAGCTCAAATTAATTTTTAATAAGTCATCTAATAAACACAATAATGTAAATAAGTACTGACTATAATTGGGATTTGAAAAAACTCCATGAAAATTAGGGAAATTCCCCAATATTTTCAAATTTATGAAATTCCCTTACACAGTCCGGTTATTAAGTTTTGAGACTGATTTTATTGTGGCAAAGTGCGTGGCGCTATCTATATGCAGTCAACAGAACTATGTAATGGCCTTCCCAGCGACGGCATATGGGGAGGAGTGTGTATCACATCCGACTGTGTTCCTGAGGCCCGGGAGGTTTCGTGATTGCTGAGACAACGTGGACGATGACAAGAGGACAGGGTGTCCTCGCATAACCATCAGAATGTTGGCAAACTATGTATGATTGATCGAATTCATCAACAATCGGATTGCAGTGCAGAGCACGCAGCTTCGGTATTTTAGTCCCCTCGTCATCGCGCATGCTATCTTGGCCATCCCGATACTTCCTGAACCAGAGGAACACAGTCGGACGAGATACACGTTCTTCACCGTATTCCAATTGTAACAGTTGATACGTTTAAGTGGATGTTTAACCGGCTTTAAAACGGATACTCTGTTGGGTCGCTCGGAAGACTTCCCATTATATAGTTCTCTTGAGCGCACATGGATAGTGCCTGCACTTCACCACAATAAAATCAGTCTTAAAATTTAAAAGCTGGACTGTGTAGTTCCAGGTTGCTACCTTGAATTTTTTTGAGGGAGTAACAAAATATTATAAACCCGTCGATGTTAAAAGTCAGTACAAAAAAATTTTTTAATAATAAAAAAAAATGCCATTATACTGGCAATTGCAGAATATTTATTAATTAATCGGGAATAGTGAAATCAAAGACAAACAAAAATGTGGACATTTTACTGGTACATAAATCTGGCAGTGGTTTCAGATCAAAGTACAATTTAATAATCATTACATTCAAAATACCATTGGAATGTTGTATACAGTTATGAAAAAATAAAGATACACAAAGCAAAATGTTCAATAATCACAATTTTGGGACCTGTTTCGTACTTAGCTAATATAGAATTAAATTAGTCTTTAATTTTTCACAACAGTTTGAAAAAAATATATAGCAAATCTTTTTGCGACCTAAAGATCCTCAAAGAGCATTTCAACTGATTCAAAGAGTATTGGTATGGACAGCCTCAGCGATAGAAACTGGGATTTGTAGCAGAAATTTTTACAGTAACAAAAACGCACATTTATATTTGAAAACATTAATAATACAAAACGTCGGCGATTTTTTCTTTAAAGTTTATATACAATAATTCTTCTTTGGTACACTCAATTACAATAAATTCTTAACGATCATATCAAATATAATAAAATATCCCCCTGTCATAGAATAATTATCTTCTAATAAATAAATATTTTACATATTTAGAAAACATTTTGTACATAAGTTCAGTTTTCCTTAAATTAACAGCAAAGGTTATAAGTAGTTTATTTACAGATGTACAGAACATTGAGAACAATCGATAGGATATTTATCTGTGGAGAGGCGAAAGTCTGATTACACGTAATTTTTCTTGCACTAAGCCACCATTTAACATATACGTGACAAATTTTATCAATTTCACCAAAAGTTGTGACCTTTGACTAGAAAATTTTGAGGCAGGCACTAAGAGACTAGATATGAACAAAAGTAATTAAGAGGAAATATACGAGTAGAAAAAATTTTTTGTACTCGTCTTAAAGTTTGTAGTGTTAATATTGAGTGTAATTTCATATTGAAATTCCAATGATTGTGGAAGTTATGGGCAATTTACCAGAATGCATTCGTTTTCAAGGTAGAAAGAATTGCTGATCAGCATTGCAAGATCAAAGATGCAGAACACGTGCATGTCGCCGAAGTCAAAACTTATAAAACTACCCATGAAGGGAGGATTCAGCAAGAGCAGTCATGAACCGCTGTAGAAGATGCTGTCAGTGCTACGGGGGTCCTACTCTATGGTCAAATCAAGCAGATAGTTTTTGAGATAAAAATTTTAAAAATTCACCTGTTTTCTGCTGTCTACTCGGATGTTCCCTCTTAATATGTTCTTTATATTAACTTTAAGTTTGTATTGCACTGTTTTGTTTTTAATTTTTGATAATAATATTCATATACTGTGTACAAGGATTTTACGCTTATTTAAAAAATTAATTAATTATAAATAATGTGTAACAATCACTGACAAGAACTACTTTCATTTCTGAGATACCGAGTGTTAAAATTTAAAAAGTTATCTCTAAATATCTTCTAAACAAATAAAAACACTAAAAATGAATTTTACATATATAACATGACATTTAACATGAAAAAATTAAATCTTAACTCAAATCAGTATTAAAAAAATTTATAAAAGCGTTAGACTTTTCTAAAAAAATATGTTTGCGATTTTTTTATTTCACAAAATATCTTTATAACTGTTTGAGAGGTGGGTACCTCAAGATTTGTTTTTTGTTACAGAAAATACATGGCAAAAAGAACAATAAAGTAACTAAATAATTATTTCCATTACAATATGCAACCTTCCAACCCTTTTATAACCTTTCTCAGTAATTTCATCATTTATTTATTAAAGCCTTTATTACAGCTTATTATTTATAGCTACATTTTATTTTATAACATTTTCTAATATGAAGCCTACCCCTTTTTCTTAATAGTGCTCTAGAGATGGTATGGAGATGATTAGTGGTTAATTAATTTTATTTTTTCTTTTGTTTTCAATACGTGTGAGAATATCAGAAGCAAATAGGGTCCTATATACAGGGTGATTCAAAAAACTGCTCACAGACTTCTAGGGTAATCATGAAAAATTAAGACGAAAAGTCTTAATAAATATAGGGTTGCAAATACCTCCTTAACGAGGTACAGGGCGTCAAAGTTTCTGTAAAATTAAACATTGCCTGCAATAATTCCAAAATGCCTGAACATTTCTATTTCAAATTTGCTATGCGTAGTTAGCATTTTAAGACCAATGTTTGATGTACTGCTCAAAATTTTATGAGTAGCAGTGTCCAATTTTATTTTAATTCATTTTAGTTTCGCATAGTAGGCTTGTGCTATTCAAAATAAAATTAAACATCGGCTGTTACTAATGTCAATAATAAGTGTACAAGCAGAGAACATTGTTGGTATAGTGTTCTCTGGTTCAAGTGAGTTAAGTAAACTAGCTTATAAGCTTCTTTTTGTCATTTTTACGGTTATTTAAATTACTTCAACTAATTCACTATTTTCAATAACAGTATGAATTACGAATATTCATTTGAAGAGATGACAGATCTATGTAATGGGCTAGCGAATTTTGTTTCCCGTGATGCAGTTAGGCGGTACAGAGAAGTGTTTCCTGCACGAAGAACACTAAATCGGCAAATGTTTGATAATATTGATAGAAGATTAAGAGAAACGGGTAAATTAAAAGCAACAAAAAAATTTTTTTCTGAACGACGGCGTTATGCTAGAACTCCGGAATTTGAGGAAATGGTCCTGGCAGCAATAGAAAATAATAATATGTTAAGTACCCGACAAATTTCTATAAATTTAAACATATCACAGTCATCTGTTTGGAGAACACTTCGCATACAACAATTATACACTTATCACTTTCAACATATTCAACATTTACTACATCAAGATTACCCATCGAGGCTAGAGTGGTCACGATGGCTGCTAGGCAGGCTTGCAGAGAATCCTAATTTTTCTGCGAATATCTTATTCATAGATGAAGCATCGTTTACGAGATGAGAAATAATTAACTTCCACAATAGTCATTTATGGAGCGACAAAAGTCCTCATGTCATTTGAATAACAAATTTTCAGTATGAGTTTTCAATTAACGTTCATGCTGGCATTATTAGCGACACGGTCCTTTTAGGCTATCAAATAGACTATACTCCGCGGTCGAAATTATAGAGACATAATATAAAAACACTATTACCATAATGCGTTTAGAATATAAAATGATTTTTATAGGGTTCAATATTATTTATCTTTGTGCCGCTCGCTACGCACATCGATAGAATCTATAATTAGTTACACTGAACGTCAATCTATACTCTATCTCTGTCTTTTGCGCTTGGTAGGGAATAGGGAAATGCTTTTTTAGTTGGGTGTAAACGTACTTGATTTCCAGTTCTGAGAAACGTCATAGCATAAGCGTAGACGAGGGGTCTAATTCCATGGTTATAATAAATTTATAAATTAAAAAAACACAACTGGGGCATTTTAAAATGCTGTAATAATTAAAATGGATCAAAGTGCCGGTTATAGTAAACCGTAAAAATTATTAGATGTTATGTTTTATTATCTTTTTTCAATATTTTCTATATCTTGTTGCCTTTTACGCAGACACGTCAATGGATTTTCGTTCCCGGCACGCTTCATCCCTCTTACTAGTCCAAAAGCTAGCGATGAGTCACTCTCTATAATTTCGACCGTGGAGTATAGATGGCCAGTTTTACTTTAATTTTTTAATAAATGATTTGAACAGCTTGTTAGATGAAGTACCACTGGATGTGNTAAGTGTACAAGTGAGTTAAGTAAACTAGCTTATAAGCTTCTTTTTGTCATTTTTACGGTTATTTAAATTACTTCAGCTAATTCACTATTTTCAATAACAGTATGAATTACAAATATTCATTTGAAGAGATGACAGATCTATGTAATGGGCTAGCGAATTTTGTTTCCCGTGATGCAGTTAGGCGGTACAGAGAAATGTTTCCTGCACGAAGAACACCAAATCGGCAAATGTTTGATAATATTGATAGAAGATTAAGAGAAACGGGTAAATTAAAAGCAACAAAAATTTTTTTTTCTGAACGACGGCGTCATGCTAGAACTCCGGAATTTGAGGAAATGGTCCTGGCAGCAATAGAAAATAATAATAAGAAGTACCCGACAAATTTCTAGAAATTTAAACATATCACAGTCATCTGTTTGAAGAACACTTCGCATACAACAATTGCATACTTATCACTTTCAACGTGTTCAACATTTACTACATCAAGATTACCCATCGAGGCTAGAGTGGTCACGATGGCTGCTAGGCAGGCTTGCAGAGAATCGTAACTTTTCCACGAATATCTTATTCACAGATGAAGCATCGTTTACGAGAGAGGAATAATTAACTTCCACAATAGTCATTTATGGAGCGACGAAAGTCCTCATGTCATTTGAATAACAAATTTTCAGTAAGAGTTTTCAATTAACATTCATGCTGGCATTATTAGCGACACGGTCCTTTTAGGCTATCAAATAGACTATACTCCGCGGTCGAAATTCTCATGTAGGCCTGGACAGCCTTCGTAGGTGGGCCCCATCCGTGGTCTACCCCGACCGCAAATGCGGACGGTGTAGGCACTGATTGTTTATCTCTCTTTCAGTTTCTATTTAGTACAGCTGTCGATATACAGTATTTTATTTAAAATAAAATCATAAAATTGATGGTAAATCGTAATTTAACACAACATAATGTAAAACTATAAGTGGTCTAACTGCTCCAGACGTATATGTTCGCAAGCGATAAACTTTTGTGCACGGCGCGGTAGCTACGTTCAGACGTATTGCGCAGTGAAAGGGTTAAGGAGCTGATTTATGCAACTCCAGTAAATTCGATTGATGAATTATGGCAACCAATTTAACAAGCCTTTCAAACAATTCATACGCCCGGGATTTTTGAAAGAATAAGAGGATCCTTAGTTCGGAGGGTAGAAACGTGTGTCGAACCACAAGGTGGTCACTTCCAGCACCTACTACTGTACATTATTTCCAGTTATACAATTTTTATCATTACGTTTTCAGCTTTAAACTTGTTGTTTATTGTTTACGTTATTTCATTCTGACAAAATTAGTTAAAACCTAAATTACTCAAAAACTGTAGCTTTAATCAAAATTTTGCAAGAGANTAAATCGTAATTTAACACAACATAATGTAAAACTATAAGTGGTCTAACTGCTCCAGACGTATATGTTCGCACGCGATAAACTTTTGCGCACGGCGCGGTAGCTACGTTCAGACGTATTGCGCAGTGAAAGGGTTAAGGAGCTGATTTATGCAACTCCAGTAAATTCGATTGAAGAATTATGGCAACTAATTCAACAAGCCTTTCGAACAATTCATACCCCTGGGATTTTTGAAAGAATAAGAAGATCCTTAGTTCGGAGGGTAGAAACGTGTGTCGAACCACAAGGTGGTCACTTCCAGCACCTACTATTGTACATTATTTCCAGTTATAAAATTTTTATCATTACATTTTTAAATTTGTTGTTTATTGTTTACGTTATTTCATTCTGACAAAATTAGTTAAAACCTAAATTACTCAAAAACTGTAGCTTTAATCAAAATTTTGCAAGAGACCAATTCGATAGACAACACTTTACTCTAAAATAGTGCCCGTTTGACAAAATTAGCGGTGGCATACAAAATATTTTTAAAAAAGTGTCACGTTGACCCCATCTCTACGACACTGCTGCTCATAAAATTTTGAGCAGTACATCAAACATTGGTCTTAAGGTGCTAACTACACATAGCAAATTTGAAATAGAAATGTTCAGGCATTTTGGAATTATTGCAGACAATGTTTAATTTTACAGAAACTTTGACGCCCTGTATCTCGTTAAGGAGGCATTTGCGACCCTATGTGTATTAAGACATTTCGTCTTAATTTTTCATGTATCTACCTTAGAAGTCCGTCAGCGGTTTTTTGAATCACCCTGTATATATTATATTTTTTAACGGCTAGAAAAAGAGGTTTTTTAAGAATTTGACAAAGTAAAAAAACTAATTGTTTGGATACCCATATCTTCAGTACTTTTCTGTAAGTTTCTGAACAGTTTCTAGAGATGCTAAATTAGAATATATTGAAAGTACTTTGACTTTTACCTCATATTTAAAGTATGATGGTTTTTTGGTTATTATGCCATGGTTTATGTACCTGGTCGCCGCAAGTTACAGAATTACCTTTCACTTTCTTAGCCTTAGTTAGGAATCTGTCTGTAGGCCCACAGAACCTATCCCGAGAATGACAAGAGCAGGTCAAAGATTTCTAGCTATAGCTAAGGAAGCAAAAGGTAGTTGTGTAACTGGAGGGGACCAGATACATAGGCCACGGCACAACAACTCGACAAACCATCGTACTGTAAATAGAAAATATTACTAACTTTTAGTTAAAATATCGCAAATAATATTGTTTAAAAAGTCCAACTCTTTGTTTTACTTTTAGAATTGGATGCCTAATACTAAAATTAATCAATACTGGTTATATTTTCCTCAACTATTATGGCCAACCAATGGAAGAATATTTCCGCCTCATTTTTATAAAATATAACCATATTTGTAAAATTTTCAAACTGTATTGAGGCACAGACGTGTCATGTTTTGTAAACTTTATGTAAACGGATCATCTTTACAAATTGCCGATTTATACAAAAATGGTAAAAGCTACATGAAAATCATTTTAGTTCAAAATAAAATTTACATTACAGAAATGACTAGAGAAATGCATAAAGAAATTTACATTTTTCGTGCATAGAAAATTTCACATCAATATCTTAATGTATTTAGAAGATTTGAGAAGACACTTTTTAGCTTAAACGTAAACATCCTGTATCTCCTAAATTTGGACGCCTTGCGTTTTATAAATCTCAAAAGTGTATAAAAATTATAATAAACTCAAAAAAATTACTATTACACACAAGTTTTCAATTAGATATACACTGGACGCTTATTTTGACTAGAATAAAATATAAATTTGTAGAAAAAATTCTTAAAAAATTGCAACCCTGTAATTTCTTAACACAAAAAGTACCAACCTTGAAACTTACATATTGCTATGTATAAATGAAGATTACTTCAAATTACTGTCAAAAATTTTGTTTGTACACTTTTTGACGTAACCAGACATTTACCTCTACCCAATATTACAACAGAATATCATTAATGATATTTGTCATATGAATTCTTTATGGCATTTTATAATTATCATGAGAATATATTACTGCTGCTGAAGTAGTAACTGTTCCAGTTCATCCGCCGACCGAAGAAGAAAGGCGGCAGACTCACGATACCCAGTGATTAGCTGTCTGACAGCAGTCATCTCTCCCGCACTTAATTTGTGATTTAGGAGCGGCTTTTGTTTCATACTTAAATCGGCAGGACCTAGAATAAAACACATAACATAGAAAAAGCGATTATGAATAATTATTTTTCTTTTTTTTTTTTTCATTTAACATTACTCCCATATTGTAACTAATTGCATATAGGGATGCAAGTCCATTTGAGTAATTTTTCAAGAAAGCAATGCAAGGAAAACTCATTACAGTCATCTTCTATTAAAAAAAACATGGGTAAAAAACACAAGACAATAAAATTCTTCTTAAAAAGAAATTTAGTATTCTCATATGTGTAGCATACAATGAATAATTTAAATTATTTTGGTAGAAATATTGCACTGAAGCCGTTGATTGTATCATCACAAACATCATATAAAAAAAAGTACAATATAAAGTCAAATTTAAGTGGCAGAAAAAATGTAATTGTAGACTAAACTAGAGATAAGAAAATAAAATAGGGCATGTTTTAGCATGCAATAATTTGATACGCCTGACAGTAATTATGCATCAATATTTCCACAAAAAAGATTATTTTTGTTTCTATTCATTTAATTTATTTAAGTAATAAATTTGTATTTTAAAATCGTCTAAATATTCAACATTAATGTCAAACTTCATTTTATGAGGACACCCCTAAAAGTTCGCGGAATGACGGATAGATGGCGCAATCTCAAAAGTGTTGTGACCTAGTAAAGTTACCTCTTCACATAGTCAACTGTCAAATTTCAGATTGCTTTGTGCATTACCGATATGGGAGCTGTTAAGTGAAAGTGTAGCACAGTTTTTAACGAGATTGTGTTGAAATTGGTGTCTTCATCAAGAAAGATGAAGGATGGTCTGAGGCAACCTGTTCCTTAATTTTATACTGTTGATAAATGAAATTGAGGCTTCAAAGCCATATTACATCAAAATTTTTGAAAAAGTGCATGACTTGGTATTAAACATCCATAAACATCTCCAAAGAATGTGTAATACATTTTCAATGAAGAGTTGGGTATGAAGAAATCTGCCTTAGGTCACCCATCCAAATTCCAGCCCACGTCTGTGATGCTTGCCTCGGCAGATAGAAATCCGCCGGCCAAGACACCCGGCTAGGCGGTCCCCTAATTTTGATACATAAATACATATCGTTTTGCTATAAGGTAATGGTACTAACCGTTTGCAAGCAGTCCTCCAGTTGCGAAGGGCGCAGTACCCGGAAAAAGTGGATAGGGTCCTGTCCTTTGAAAAGCCTGAGTGAAATTTGGCCTGTACATAGCCGTAGGTGCCGATCCCGCTGTACTCGATATACCGAGTCCGTTCATACCTGCATTCCCTAACACTCCTGTATTTGACACACTAAAACCATAAAAAAAATTAGCCTCTGTCTTTTCTACGTTATTTTCTATATTTTTGTACCTTAGTGAAGACGTTTTTAAATCCGGGGTTACCGATAACACCTTCGAAACCGAATTGGAGGTACTTGAGGGGGTAGTAGATGAGGGGAAGGGACTTGGAACTGCATCGCTTTCTAGCTTAACGGGTGTACTGCTGGAAAAATCTAGTCCTCTATTAATGGCAGCTGTTGTGTCCGTCGGCTGTAAACAAAATGAAAAAATGTTAAAGCAGAACTGTTTAAAAAATACAGCTGTGATATAAGATACGCTGTGAGGTAATATTGAAGCCAATATATTTTAATTGAACTAAATATATCGTCCCTCTTATCACGTAGGGGCGTATAATCCAAGAAATGGATATACACATACGCCTCTACGTGATAATAGGGACAATATGTTAGTCCAAAGTTACTTCATTTGTGAGTTACATGGTGTTGAAGTTGAAACGAAAGTAAATCCACCCTGTATACAAATTAATATTATTTTTTACCTTTAGCAGAAAACTTTTTAGGGACGCCTATGACTTTAAATTTTATTGCTAGGCGTTTTTATACATGTTCAACAGACTTCGGAAAGACTATAACTATGAAAAGATGAACCAGCTGCAAGGATTTATGGTGTAACATTTTTTATATTGAAAAAGGTTTGCGTTTTCAAAATAAAAAAATGTTAATTTACTGGCCGTAATTGCATACAGGGTGAAAGTACTTCATCAAACTTTTTCTTAAGCAAAGTTTGAGAATCTCAGTGCTCAGTGTTATTATGACCTTTGGCATTAATCTAGGTTAGGTGAGCTACCTATATAATATCTACATTTTATTCACCTGAGATCTTAATTAAAATCACCTACTTGACCTATCACCATTCAAAGTAACTGAGATTAGCTGAGATCTTAGGTAAATAAAAGAATATTATTTTCAATTCACCTGATGTGAAATGACAACAGGGCTCTAGGTAGGCAAGAAACAAACAGCTAACATTAATTCGTAGAAACGGAGAATGGCTGAATATGTCATCGCTTCAATTTATTACATTTTTCTTGTTTTATGAGAAGCGTGAAGCTACATTTTTTAGTACGGTGTGTTTGTGTGTTTTCATTGTTAAATTTCTGGGTGATATTATGAAAGCAAGCCATAGATTACACTCGTTTCAAAAATAAAAATTAAGATACACCACACATTTTTTATATGTGTATTAAATGAAAATATCGGATATCTAAGTTTATAAAATAAATAAGGCAGTGTTAAAATGGAAAAATATTAAAAAATTAAGAAAAATTATTACCTGGGTTCCAGGTAATATTGGCATTGGTTGACTGACAGGTTCAAGTCCCAATCTCATTCTCTTCGCATTATGGCTTTCATTTTCACATGCTGTCGCTAATATCTGTTCAGCCTGAACTGAGGTTAAATGCGCTGGAGTTGGCCTCGTCTGTAAAAAAAGCTTAAACTGAAAAATATGAAATTTCACTAGTATATACAGGGTGTAGCAAAAAAGTAGGTTTAGTCTTTAACCACAGATACTTTGGGTAAACATTTTTATTCAGGTGCTTGTTTTGAAGATCTAGAATAAACAGATATTAAATTGTTTAAGATATTCATTAGAAATTTTGTCGACACCCCTTTTGTGTAATTTAACACGTTAAACCCCTCAAACTTTTTTCTATATATGCCTATCATTCAAGGATGTCGTTTTTTTTTAACATTTCTTTATTTTACTTTTTCCTCCTTTTAAAATTTTGGTTGGTTACCCATAAACTACAGTAAACAGAAAAAAGTTATTGGTGGGTGTCAAAGATATATTGGAAAAACGTAAAACTCTGTAAAATTTTAAATTTAATTTGAAAAAACAATGGAACCATTAATAAAAATACTTTTCAAAATCTAACTTTGGCACTCTGTATTTTCAACCAGAAATGCCTAAATGAAAAATAACATGTTTTGTTACTTTCGCTCAAAGAATCTATGGTTAACGACTTGGCCTACTTTTCTGCAACATCCTGTGTACTGATGAATAAACTAATATTAAAAAATATTATTAATTTATGTAAAATTAGATACTTACTGCATCCCACGGAGAATTAGGATCTCTGGCACGTTTGTTCCTTCGGCACGACTTGAGATATGTGCGAATTCTTTTTCTGGCCCTTTCGGCGAACTCTGGGAACTGCCTTGTACACGAATCGATAATTGCCTGGATTTTTTCCTTTGGCTGTTTACTAATAGGAACCATTCGATCTAAGTTTTCATCTACAAATAGCCGAACAAACATCTGAAACAAAAATTGGTATTTGTAGTTCATTTGATATGCCTTTAATAAATAGTAAAATATAAAAGAAAAATATATTAATAAGTAAATACAGTCAGTGTTGATGATGAAATATCGCTCGGGAATAATTTCGTGTTTTAATAAATATGTTCTACTTCACCGAAGTGTCAAATAAATGTGTTGTAGGTATATTTCATTTAAATATCATTCTTCAAACTTAATATCATATATTATGTTTTCAATATTGCTGTGACTACCATATTATTAAGCAGCACATTTCTTTTAAATCGAACAAATTATTCTGTTCTCTCAATATTTATTTACATGTCATGTTAAATATAAAATTATAGCATTTAAGGATGTTACGAATATGGACGGTTAAAATTTTATTTGTAGACAATTTAAGGAAAAATATAGCTTTTCTCGTTTTAACATTTGAAATATTTATAATAATTATTATATACATATCATTACTTTGACTGTATAAAATAAAGTATACTAATTTGGATACTTTTGTTTTTTTTGCATTTCTCGGGAAGACAGATTAAAAATAGTTAGGATGTCATGATTACAAAAGATTTTTTTAAAATGGAATATATCCTATATATTTTTTATTTTTTGAATCCTGCCTAAAATTCTTTAAAAATATAAAACAAAAAATTATTTTGTTGTAATTAACTCAATTATTTCTTGATGCAATTAAGTGTGCTATGGATATATTTGATCCGATGAAAAAAAATGCTTGGGAGACACTGATGGGGTGTCATATAACTCTTATGGATTTCTGCACCAGTTTTTTAGAATTCTATAAATATATAATTCCGCGATCTCCGCTAAAGATCACTACCGCCTCTTCAATAAAGGAAATGGGGAAAAAACATTGCCAGCTGTACTGAAGAAATTGCTCAGTGAGTGACCTGATGCTGAAGTGCGCATGTTGCCACTACAACGGATTAAAACATTCTAAAAATGAGTACATTTTGCACTGAATTTTTGCTTAACGAAATCGAAACACATATTTTATTTTTTTATGACTTACATGAGGTTAAAATGAAATAAGAAAAATACGGAACTCGTATTTTTTAAATAATCTTCATTTTATGATAATAAAAAGTTAAAACACACTATATTTTCCCAAATAAAAGTTATAAAAAATGGTTAAAAATGAAAATACCATTTATTTGTTGAACGAATCAAGATACAGAGATATGGTTTCCTTTGTTAATTTTTTCCTCGAAAATACTGGTGACATCTTGAATGATATTTGTCTACCTCCTCAGGAAATGCGAGAAACACCCTACAGTTTTTGTTGGTACTCTTGTACTAGCTATTGTTTTTGTAATAGGGTGGTTTCCTTCAGCGAAATTCGATATAAAATGTTACATATAGTCAGCGCCAGACTGGGAGAAAAAAGCGGCCCGGGAATTTTTCAAAGTAGCCGGCCCTAAAAAATTCTAAACTGCCATAGTAAAAAGTAAACGGGTTTTTTTAGTGTACAGTTTTGAAATAGTCGTTATTTATGTCGAGTTTTCCAAAGTTGAGAAGATTGAAAATTTTTAAATGTATTATTTATTTTATCCATCAATTAGTTTATTATTTCTTTTATTTTTTTCAGTGGATAATTCTACCTTGCATTCGACAACTTTTAAGCGCTTTACTCGGTAACTTTTTACTAGAGACTTTTCTAAATCCATTAAGCTTGAACCATAGAATACGATTTTGTATTCTATATTAAATAAGTCATGAAAATATGAGAACTGTAATCTAAGAACTTAATTCTTGAACCACAATTATTTGTAAGAAAATAAAACCAAGGAAAACGTACTGTTAAATCGTATGTATTAACCTAATAGTATAGAAAAGAATAACATACATGTGAAACTTCATTCATTTCAGCAATTTCGATTAAAATACATCTGACAAATCTGAAAATAATATTAGGTATAGTAAAAGCTTATTTCTAAAACTTGGATGTTTTGAAGTTAGTAAGTCAATTTTGATAAGATCAATTTTTCGATTTTTACTATAGGGTTTCTTCCTGCAATTTGCTGAAAATTTTGAACTTGCACGTATTAAATCGTTCACTGATATAAATTAATTTCATATGCAGTTTTCAAAAAATTGTGTCCTTTTTTAACTAAATTTTGTAATAAAATTAAAAATTATGACTTTTTATGGAAAAAAAAAATCCATAGAACAATCTATCCTGTTAGGTACTTTTAATTATATGTTTTGCAAAAACTTTATTAAGACTAATAAAAATTTCAGCAGACAACGAAAAATTGTACTTCGAACATATAAAATGTCTCTTAAATAAATTGTCCCAAAAAAAAACATAAAGTTTAAAAAGGGACAACATTTTTGGATTTTTTTTGCTTTCCATTCTAAAAAGGTTAAAATTTTTGAAATATATCTAATTAAATGTTGGGCCAAGCGGCCCTTTCGGGAATTTTCCCTTTTTTCTCTATGGCCAGTCCGGCGCTGCATATAATATTTATCAATAATAGTCAATAAACAACAAAATTTCTTCTGTTTTTCATGTTTCATTGGAATTTTTCGAAATAATTGGTAAAGACTTAATGATTCGACAGAGGCAGAATACTGCAAAAAGTAGCAATTTTTATTAAACTGGATTCTGCAATTTTGCAGTTGTTTTACCCTGCGGCAAGCGCAAGAACGGTCAAAAGTACAGTTTAAATGTAAAATTATAATAAATGCCAACACAAAATACTTCACCACTGACGAATCGCAAGCTGAAGCTGTATGTATATCTAAATCATAGAATCAATTGTACATTATTTTTCGCATCTCCGTTTTTCTATGCTTCATGTTGGTAGGTCTCACTTATACATGACGCGCGCACAGGTTTAAAGGAAAAAAGTGTTTCGTAACAGTCCGTTACTACTTATTGATAGCCAGCCAGTTCATTTTGTGACCGAACCAATCGCACTGTGGGTAAAAAAAAAGAGTGGCGGGTGGGCCCCATGATAGAAGAACTACGATGCTCAAATAATTGAGATTGATCTTCCTTACAGGTAAGTCGATCGAATCTTACAATTTTACCTTAACAGTTGCTATAGAAAGAGTCCTGATATAAACATCTGGTTTCTGCTTTTTTGCATAAAATGTCGAAAACAAATAAAATGCACAAAAAAATTTGAGACACGCCCCTATTCAATACTGGTCAGGGCATTAATCCGCAGAGTCGTTGTATTCCACAATATCATGAGTTAAAAATTACTTGGAAGAAATTATCATTTCAATTTATCAAATAAACACCTCATCCATTTTCTTGGGAGTATGCATCCGCCGTTAATATTAACTATTTTTTTTTGTCGAATTAAGAAGCACTTATAAAAGACATAATATAATAGAAATCTACGCAATATTTATTAAATGTGCAGCATGTTTGTTAGATAAGATTACAGATAAAAATGTACAAATAAACTGCAATTCTGAAAAAAGCAGGATGTGCAGAATAATCACGGTTTTAAGTTTGTTTTAAGTTTGAGGTAGACGACCTAGTTCGGCAGAATATAGACAGGAAGGGAAACGTTTGTACTGATATCCAGTCTCTGCTGAAAATGCACTTACTGATAATACCGACGAATTTTGTTATTCCTCGAGTAAATTTTCAAGACAAAAATGTGATTTTTTCTTTGGTAAAGGAAACGCGACAACTGCATAATTTCGATGAGAACTCACGTTGAAAGCCTTGAGCCTCTCCGGATCGTGGGTCTGCGCGTCGATTTTGTCATCACTTTCGTCGTCGTCATCGTCTTCGTCTTCTTTGTTCCCGCTAGAACTGGTCTCGTCGTGGGCTGAACCTGTGTCGGCATTCACCGGGCTCTGCAAGAGAAATAAAGCGCTTGATGATACGAGGCGCAAGCAATAAATATAACGAAAATATTATCATTTAGAAAACTGACCTGACACAATAATTTCACTTAACTGAAACAAATGCGTCTGGATTTCAAAGGGAAAATCCACTATTTTTATTAGTAAGGGTTTATATTGCTCATAAAGTTTTTCCTTAAAAAATGTGACAACGTAGAGGTATGTACCTACTCATAAATTTAAAGTAGAACTTTTGCAATTTAAGAATAAAGTACATTTGGTTTCACAAAATACAAGCGTTAAAAGTAATATATTGCTTTTTACAACTAAAAGCAGTGACAGTTGGTGAAAATTAAAGTGGTTCTATTTATTTGGATACTGAAGTCTGGGACTCATAATATTTTTTAGATGATTTTAGCAAAGTTTACAGAATATTTATTCTGTAAACTTTGATTTTAGGCCAATGCGGAGAACTTTCGAAGTCAAAAAATTTCAAGCGGAATTTGCCTTGGGGTCTCAGATTGGGCATACAGTGTAGCCTAATAAGAATCAAGATATCCCTTTAACATTTTTTTGGAGCGCATGTTTCGAATGGAATACATTTTCATATGCTTTCTAGATGTATTTGTCGAATAATAAATAATCTAGCTGGCAATTCATGATGAATTGCGATTTTAATTAGAAGCTTATGAATCATCATCATTTTTTAAACCCCCAGTATCTCAGATTTCATCAATTTATAATGCAGAATAATCTATCACATACATGGTGTTTCATAATAATGTGCAAATAGTTTAAGGTGGTGTTTAGAAAGTAATTTTAGGGGGGGGGGGTACTATTACTTTCTAAACACCTCCTTAAAATATTTGCACGTCATTATGAAACACCCTGTATATTTACGATGAAGGAAAGAACATAAAAAGAGATGAAAAACTTGCCAATACTGTCACTGCTACTACGATGGGTAAATATTAGAGACCCAATTTTGAAGATACGAGTATTAGATCTTACTCACATACAATGAAAATAATTTATACGCCAATCATAATTAGAAGGGATAATTAATTTGCAATTTTTTTATTTCTAAAGCCTCCTAGATTTTGAAACTGAAACTTCATAAATTTAAAACTTAAAAAACTGAATAATACGATTAATCTGCATTATATATTAATCAAATTTGAGGTTTTAAATAATGCTGATTTAGGCCACGTAATCAGATTTTTTATAAATAAAAATCCGTAAAAGTTTTTTTTCCAAAATCCGCCTGTAAAAATAATCACGGCAGGTCAGAAATTGCCAACTGAATCATCGTAATTGATTCAATAAAGTGTGCGTCCCAAAAAAATCTGGGGGATCTTGGTTCTTAATGAATCACACTGTACATGTGCAAAATACAAATTTTTCATGAACAGATAGATTCAGTTGGGCGGTATTTTTATAAATCATAAAATTAAATTTTCTTAGATAGATTAAAATAGACACTTTACCGAATTAAATAAGAAAAATTATAAAATATGTAAATTTTAAGATAAATAAAAACTGTGAAAAATAAGAAAAACCTTGTTTGTATCTGTAAGTTGATAAAAGCGAAATTTCAATAATAAAAAAGTTTCAATATGGCAAATAGTACGTTAAATAAATGCAGTTGTATGGTTTACAAGGAAAGAGATGTAATTTTTTGTGTATTTTTAAATGTATGCTTTTATCTGTGCACTATTTTAAGTTTTCATTAAAAAAGTGTGTTGTTGTTCGTAACTGCTCAGGTTACTACAAAAAAAATGAAATGTCCCTGAATGATTGGATGTAGTAAAAAGTTTTTTTTTCTTGTAAACAGAAAAAGAATCATATTTTTATAATTAAGCTTTACTGCAACAAATCCATAATTAAACAAGGTAATACTTTGCATATTTTACAATGATTTAAACAGCTATTAACATAATTAACATAAACACTTAATTGTGTTGGTATCGCTCTTATTATTAAATATTTTTGAGAACAGTTCCACCAAAATAATTTGAAAATATGGAAAGCAATTCCATAAATCAAAATTCACTACGTTTCCATATTAACTGACTGTGAGTACAATTATCTGTGTTATGTATATTTTTTTAAACTAAAATTATGAATTGTTTAAATCATGTGTTTTTTGGAAGGTAATATTTTACTTACAGGCACATCCCTCGTGGCAGGTGGTGTGGCCTTCCCCTTGGACAACCCCAGAGCGGAGTGGTACTGCGCCCAGAGCCCTACCATCTCTTCACCACCAGGTACTGAGGACAGGTCTGGAATATCACTATTTCCGTTTCTATTTCCTATAAGTTAAAATGGGGGACACTTAATTATTTCCTGAAAGAATTATTTTCATAATATCCCTAAACTAGAGTACATCTAAGGTATTTTTAATATTTTGGAGGATATAGGGTTTATGGTTGTGGTTCAAGACGGAAAAAAATGACAAAAATATTTTATTTTGTATCACCGGCATTAATAAAAATAAGATATACTGGAAAAAGTCACTAATGAACCCTGTATTTTAAATGCAATCTTGTAAAACAAAAAAAAACGTTATTGAGAGTACATAATGATTAATATATTATTTGTTTTATACCGAACACAGTCTATTTAAAAAAACTAAAATCATCCAATTACATTCACATTTTTGTAGATCCCGAAAATGATACGTTCTTGTCAATATTTTGGGGACTGTCAATGACCATTAATTATTGTCAATTTAAATGAATATACCACAAAGGTCAATTTACCGCCTGTTTAAAAATACTAATGATATATATTATTTACTTGTCGTATTTTTTAAATACCAAGTTAAACACAGTTATTAGAGAAATATGCGCAAGGGGAAAACCATGAATGGAGGATATGACCCTTACTGGCATAAAAACTATTAACGCCAATACAAAAGTTGATCAATAGACTTAAATTACCATTGTACGATGTGAAAAGCGTGGATATCTGTAGTACTATATTTCTCATCACGTCATTAGTAGGATGCCATAACTACAAGGTCGTTTTAATCGCTGCAACTTGATCGTAAACATTTATGGATAAATTTCCTCAGTTTCCAATGTTTTCGGTTTCATACACCGTGCAATAATCTATTGATGGAAAGTGTATTGCAACATGAGTTTGATATAATAAGTTTTTGGAAAATGGCAACAACCAGAGGCGTCCGCGAAGGGTACATCTCATCAGAATTGACGTATTTATGGGTAATTTGATACACGAAATGCGAGTTCAAGATATTTTGCAATTTGCATGATCACATTTACAATACCAAAAAATATATATTTTTCTACGGGGTGTATTTAAATAAAAGAGCACGAATGCTACCAGAACCAGGTTATCTCGAAATCAAAATATCGTAACTGAAGACCATGTGGTACAAGAAGGAGATAAGTCCATAATTTTGTAAAATTAAATTTCTGCAAATATAGGTTTAGAAACAGTAATCAAACCCCATTTCGAAATAAAATGATATGCCACTGACCAAAATTACGTGTAGGAAGGAGGGAAATATTTCGAAAATATTTTATAACTGCATATTTTCGTTTCTTATGATAATTATAAAACTTAGCAATTATTCAGTTCTACATTTTACCAGATAATGTTAATTTACAGCAAATCTACGTTTTCTTAGAGAAAATTAAGAACACTTTTTAACAAACTGACTTGACTGTATAATTCAACATAAATATTGAATGTAATTTTGACCAGTGGAGTAACATTTTTTATTTTGAATACTGTGTAAATTTTATTTGCTAACGTATGGTCACATTATTGTACCTCACACCAAATATGAAGATACAATATTTTCTTCAGTGCTAATTTAAACACCCTGTCAGTTCCAAATGAAGCAACTTTGGGCTAGGGTATATTTGACCCAATTATTATACTTATTTTAGTCTCAATGGCATATTTGTGTTCCTTCATTTAAATACGCCTTGTACAAACATAAAATGCTTTTGAAAGATGTGACAAAGTTTCTCAAAATACTATTAAAGATGGGGCTTGATGACTTCTTTATTGGAAGCTGCAGAATTACATTTACATAGACCATTCTGTTAGGTTTTATTATACCGCTAAGTTGGTAGTACTAATAATAATAGTCAAAAGCAAGTTAGTTACTTAAGTGCAAATCTGGATTTAATCGCTAATGAAAATTTTTCTTTTTTTTTTTTTGGACAAGTCATAAGTAGGAATTGTTTATGTCTACCGGAATCATAGAATTTTCTGGTACCTAAGTAGTACGCATTAACATTAGTACTTTCAATAATAAAAAACCTGTTGTCCAAACGATGTTTAAATTGACTGATAATCGCCGTCCACTTCTTGTCGCGTTTTTTTGTGGTAAACAGAAAAAAATGCTGAATTAGAATTGTCATAATTGGCCACGCACCAACTAATAATCCTACGAAATCCTTGCTAAATATTTTGCAAAAAAAAAGAAACGACCCTATATTCACCAGACCAAATTGTTGAATTTAGAAACTCGCCCATATTTTTCAAAATGAGACGTTTATATCTAAATATTTTTTTTAATTTTCAAGGTCTCCATAATTCACCTGTTGGAACGTCATTTACCTCAGTCGAAAGTCAAAAATAATCGTCTGACTAGTTGTCTTAGCGTTAATTTATAGGTCTCGGTGGTAACCTTGTAAGGTAAAAGGTCAACGTTTTATCTTTACGTTTAGATCTTAGACGGAGGAACTGGGGCTGACAGGGATAACTAGAGTGAAGTTTTAATTAGTTTAAATTACGAAAAATTATGAACAAATGTGATAAAAAATTTGTAATAAGTTCACTATATACAGTGTGTTTCACTTTGAGAATGCTTTTTTTCAACATAGAGATCTACCTTATCAGCTATGTTCGAAAAATTCTGTGAAGAGTTATTTGCTATAACCAAAATTTCATTTCATTATTTTAATAATGCATATAGCGTGTCTGCTACAGTAAATAAAGTTTTTTAAAATGAATATACATATTTGAAAAACTGTATTAAGGGCGATAAAAAATTTGATTAGTTACTAATATCCACTGTTTTAGGGTAATGTCAGTGTGCAGTTACAGACCGTAAAAACCAGCTCAAATGCTGAATTATCGGTTTTTTACAGAACTTTCTATATATCTGCATTTTAAAAATTATAATTAATACATCAAAGACCCTGTATGCAATACTGAAACGAAATTTTGGTATTAGTAAATAGCGATATGAAGAATTCAATCACGACATCAGTTTTTCTTACAAAAATAATGCAAAAAAATATTTTAAATACAAAAAATTCAAATAAGTTTAGGGTTGTTCTTCATCCAATGGGACATCCCTTTTTTATGAGCAACAAGCAATTTTTGAGTTCAATATATTATTTTTATTACCCATACATACGACCTTGGCAATATCAGAAAATGAATTATTGATTGCTGCAACTTGCAGATTGGATAGAACTGGCGTGAATAATGTTTTTTCAATAAATAATTTACAATTGTATAATCATTACGTTATGGTACTGACATTTTCGTAACGCAGTTGAAATATGGACTCGCTTATTTAAATAGGTTAATCAGGTACTACTTTGGCACAATAAATGTCAATGTTTATCCATATTCATAGAAGCTTATTAGAAGAAAATGTATGGATGTATGAATTAGTGATCTCATAGAACAAATTTTAAAACAATGACAAAATTAGAAATTGAAAGTAAAATCGTAATAAACAGTTCCATATATTAGCCAAAGAAATCTCAATAGCCCTAACCTATCAATCAAGAAGTTTTCTATTTTCATGATTTTTTCAGTCACTCGGTCGGACATTTAATTTTACGAATTTGTTTTTGCTTTTTTTTTCGGTGACTTCACGTCGGTCTATTTCTGCTTCTATGGGTAAACACTGACACCAGGAGACGAGCAACTACCAACGTGGAAATTTGGCCGAACTCTCACTTTGTCGTAGGGTAAGGACATTTTACTTCCTTAACATTGCTTAGACAAGGGACCAACGGTTTTGCATCCTTTCTGAGGGGCGGACGAGCATCGCCAGCCTTCCCTGGATGGTCATCCATCCAAATACTAACCGCGATCAGGGTTGCTTGCCTTTTCATATCACTGACAGATGTTTTACGAATTTAATAATATGCATGATGATAAAAAAAATGGGCGGGAAGTTTGTATTTGATCCTTTTAATCGACTCTGACACTATGGTATGTAGGTATATTTCATAAAAGATATATGTATGAGGTTTTATTAATTCTTCATTTATTTATGGGTGTGGATTTGTGAAATACATATTTAATATAATCTTATTATATCATTCGTTTCTAGTTTTATGTACTTTCAACATTGGTTTGTAAGTGGTTTTAGTTTGAAGGTATACATTTTCGAGTAATGAAAATTAAACAAATTCTGAAAACGTAACCCCTATCTTTAAGAATACTATCTATAATTATGGAACACAAATTGGAGTTTAGTGAATAAGAAAAATAATATACGGCAGAGAGTAAGTTATCGAAGCATCATCGATATAATTTCTAAAAAGTCAGCTTTCAAATTCGGTGTAGGTACCTTAAGTTTTATTTTCAGAATATTTGTATTATTATTTAGATATCTGACTATACTAAGTATTTGTCACGTGATACACCTGATGCTTGTAAATTATTGCGCCAAATTTAAGCAGGAAGAAAAATGGTAATTTTTTAACAAAATTTTTCATTCTTTTTATACATATATTAGTCCGGTCAAATTAGTCATAAAAATAGTGGTCAAATAACGAAAATTCCGACAGAGCTAAATTTTGGTGGAGACCTTGGGTACACCATTAGAAATAAAGTGTCAAAAGTCCCTATCGATTCTATGTGTGCTAAAAAAGTTATTCGGGGTCAAAAGTCAAAATTTGAGGTTTTTTGGATTTTTTTCGAAAACGGTAAGATTTACCAGAAAAGTAGCCCTGACAAAAATATAGATCTTAAAATTATCTACAAAAATGATCCTTATACTTTTTTTTCTAAGAATCACCATTCCCGAGATATCGCGATTCTAAAAGTTGAAGGAGTCATGTTCTACATGATATGCACATATTATGTGTATATGCCACGTATATACATAGTCAGGCACTTAATACAAGTAAAAATGCCTATTTGTGTCTCTTATATGTATAAACTATACTACTCTGAGAATATACACTCAAAAGAAACTCAGTCCCTTAGTCAAGCCCCTCTACTCGCATGGCCTTGAATAACATCTGGTACTCTATTGTAAAAACTTTTGTAAAAAATACACGAAACAAGAAACAAGTACAACTATCTTGTCTTCCTCCAGCATCGACTTCGGCTAATCAACACTTGTATCGAGTATACTATTAAGTTCAGACATGGCTAGGCAATCAACTGAACCCAGAAGACTGGGGTTAGAAATTAACAGATAATACTTTGGAACCGATTTAAACTTCCAACTGCTCCGGAAAAACTCCTAAACACTATTTTTTGCAATTGTAAAAAGTTGTAGTGCTAAATGTGGCTGTAGAAGAGTAGGGTTACTGTGTTCTCCAGCGTTTACTAATTGCCAAAGCCAATCTTGCTCAAATGTCCAATTGAATACAACAGACGAAGGTTCATGTGATTTCGATGAAGAGACAGCTGATTCATCTTCATTTGAACAATTTATGAACATCCAGCAAGAAGAAGAGGAGGAAGAAGAAGAAATCGAAGAAGACATGACTGTTGAAGTCGACTTTGAAGAGTATGAATCAGATTAAAATATCAAAAGAAATCAGAACTACAGTTAAAGTCAATAACCAATATCAATAATCATCGTGCAGTTAAAAGAGTATTATCCCTAAAAATTCCGTCATAACAGTTCGTGGAGTAGGCCTACCGGGGAAACCACGTTAAAAAACGCGCCAAAGTACCCTACCCCAGAGGTGGTGTGGAACTGTGTGCATATCATGTAGAACGTGATTCTTTCAACTATTAGAATCGCGATATCTCAGGAATTGTGATTCCTAGAAAAAAAAGTATAAGGACCATTTTTGTGGATAATTTTAAGATCTATAATTTTTGTCTGAACTACTTTTTTGATAAAACTTACGGTTTTCGAAAAAAATCCAAAAAACCTCAAATTTTTACATTTGACCCCGGATAACTTTTTTAGCATACATGGGATCGATGTGGACTTTTGACACTTTATTTCTAACGATGTACCCAAGGTCTCCACCAAAATTTAGCTCTGTCGGACCCCACCTGTGAAAAAAAGATAATGACATGAAAATAGTTTTGCCTAACCAAAAATCTGAAAAAGTAGACAAATACAAAATACACATCACTATAGCATTTCAAGAAGTTGTTGACGTTTCGAAAATCAATCTGTTTTCATCTTCTGAACAGATAATAATTTTTCGTTTTTAATTATTGCCAGTTTAAATTTGTGAACCTTTGTGCTCGTCTATATTTTAATAATTACAGGTCGAAGGCTCGTATTTTCTAGGTCACACATTTTAGGTACATGACATATAAAACGTGACACATTTCTTGTTCGGAAATGAATCCGTAAAATTGCATTTTATAGTGACCACTTTTGTTTTAAAATTCCATTTTCCAGCTCCCGCCGAAATTTGGCGCCACGATTTAGAAACATCACGTACAAATATTGGGAGGCACTTTCTACAACACAGATGAGGAACTAAACAAAGGGACAACAATAACTCAAGAAAAAAATGTGTATGTGTATGTATGTGTTACCTTGGGCCTGATTGTGGTAGTTCCACGCCAAGAGCATCAACTTGAGCTTGTCGCTGTCTTTCATAGCCCCAGTTCCTGCACAGCCAATCATATCACGATTAGCAGGGTTGGTTACACTTTTATCAAATAAATATACTTAATTAACAATAACCATTGTTCTGTAATTGCGAAAATAAAGATAAACATAATGGATGTGAGTCGTGAATAAGTATTCGGTGATAGCTAATGAAACAAACGAGTGTTATTTCTACCTATAAAAAATTAAAGCAACTTTAACGAATTCAACGAAATGTGTTATTGATTATTACTTTTGGTGGATTATTATATTTGTAACTACTCAAAATAATTACCTAAGAATTACATTTTTTGGAAAAAAATTAGATTTAAATGCATGGAATGCTAATTATTATTAGAAAAAATATTTTCACCTTGCTTTTGAAAAAAGAGCAGAGGGATACTATTACCCAATTTTAAATAAAGGAAAAAACATAAATATTCAGGGTGGATCTTTTTTAGCCTTTATTGTTTCAAAGTTGAATCTAAAAGAATTTTTAAATGTATGTTATTTCTGTGAAAATTGTATTTATAAATTTTTTCTTCAATTAAAAAGACGACAAAAATTTATTGGCGTACGATTGAAAATTTTTATCTAAAATAAAAACAATCTTTTGAAATTAATACCTACTCGTAAGTTAAAAAAACTAAAATTTGCGTTTCCATTAAAAAATTATATGACAGGAAAAATATAGTAGACTGATTGTATATTTTTATATAAAACATTTAAATTGCTTACGTCTAGATATTGAGAAAAATGCTTCAATTTAAATCAATTTTATTTTTGCTTGTTATAAGTCTTATATTGATAGCAATAATTCAATTTCTCAATTTATCACAATCTCGATTTTAAATTAAAAATTCCTTTGAATGGTATAAAAAAAAATTAGGGAATAAAAACAGGCGGTTGTACCAAATTTAATAACTTTATGAGAAACAGCAGCTGTGATTGTTGCAAAAAAATTTATTTTAAAGAAAATTTTTCGTCATAGCATAATGTAAAAGCGCCACAAATGATATAATATATTTAAAAAATAATATTTTTGTATGGGAACTTCATGTTGAATAAAAAAATATAAATCGAATGCCACTAAAACCAAAGTTCCTAAAATGTAAATTAAAAAATCAAACCATTAAGTATAACACCAACCCTGCCGCATTTTAAAATTATATCGAAAATTTGGTTTATATCCTGCACATACATGAGGACAGACGAATTTCGTGTAGGAATATCAAAGAATTTCGTGTAAGAATATCAAAAAATTGTGTGTAATGAAAAAAATGTTCATGAATACTAACCGTCGTAGAAAAATATATAGGTATAAATATAAATGAATTTAAATTTGCATTCTGTGAATTTGTTAACATATATGTTTCTTCGACACTACAGAAAGTTGACGTTAAATAAAAGTCATTCTTACCTCCATAATGTTCATCCTCATTCCCTTCAGAAGATTCAGGTGTTGGCAAATTTTCCTGTAACAAATATAAATGTACTTATAAATGTCTTGTAGACTTAGTCGTGGGTATACAGGGTCGGAAAGTCCCCATGGTTCATCGGCCGTTACATGAGAGCGATAAAGAAAGTCATAGAAATCCGTGCGATAGAGAAAGATGGCTATAATGAAGGCGTCTAATAGTCACCGCCCATTTCGGCCTTCCACAAATAAGATCCACTTCTTATTTGTGGAAGGGCGAAATGGGCGGTGACTATTAGACTCCTTCATTATAGCCATCTTTCTCTATCGCACGGATTTCTATGACCTACTTTATGGCTCTCACGTAACGGCCGATGAACCAGGGGGACTTTCCGACCCTGTATAGATATTAAATCGGATGTAGCAATATTTTTTTGAATTATCATATAAATGTTTTATAAAAATATAAATCAAATGAAAGAAACATTACACTAGCATTTATACTGTGGCAGATAATGTTGCGATTTGTAAAATCTAAAAATAAAAACAAAAATGAAGTCAATGTTGGAAAAATATTTTAACAATTTAATTGTAGGGGGTTGTTCACATAATATTCCAACCGTATTATATATTTTGCCTTTCTATCTAGCAAAAAATTAAAGAACATTTTAGTAATTTTCTTGCGGACTCAGCGGATGAATATTTATATAAAAAACAATTGAATACTTAGGAGGTATAAACCGAAATATGTTTTTTTAAATGGTGCACCCTGTATATTTGCCGTCTTTACCATTTTTTGCTAGATAAAAAGGCAAAAAAGGTAAGGGGGTTATATGAATGACACTGTGTTATACAGGGTGGCCAAATGAAAACGATACAGAGCCAATTTCAGGAACTGCGTCAAGATTGTAGAAAAACGTTCAGACCTGTCGATTTTAGATTAATGGGGGACATTATTTGCTGTTATTTTTGACTCCGCCACTTACACCCCCAAGCAAGGGTAAGCATCACCCCAAAATATTTAAATGGCATTGGGGGTTGAGTAATATTTCTTTTGAAAGCTCTTACATTTCTCTTTACAACATACTTTAAATTTTATAATTCCGCCCAATACTTTGAAAAAAATTTACATTTTTCCGGTTGTTGTGTATGCACCTCGTGAAAAACTCTTGGGTTTGAATCGAACCAATAGCGGGAATTGTGATGATTTACCGTCCCGTTCAAAAAAAAAACTGCATTCATCAGAAAAACAGATGTTAAAAAGGAACTGTGGATCGTTCCATTATTTCGCAAAATTGCAAACGGCGGTCATAATCATCCTTATGAAGTTCCTGGACTAAATGTATTTTGTATGGATGGAATTTATTCTTCTTCAAAATGGTTTGTATGCTAGTCCGATTGATCCCAGACACAGATGCCAGCTGCCTCGTACTTAATGTAGAATCAAGATGAACTTGTCCCAAAACTGCAACTTCACTAGCTTCATTAACTATAGATTTTTCAATTTCTTGTTTTTTATTGGCTACGTTCCCTGTCTCTTGAAATTTTTTTACTAACTCTAGAACATACTTCCTCCTGACATGTCGATTTGGATAAAATAGCTGAGCTGTTTTATTCGCACATTTATTGTTCATAAAGTAAAGCGAAATGATATCTACCCTTTCCGCAATGTATTAAACCATATTGTTTAATTTTCAAAAACACAATTAAATAAACTACCAACCAACGCTTCCAAATAATACTAGAAAATAATTTGGAATCCACTAATTTTCCGTTCATTGTGTGTGTATAACATTAATTTCTGTTTTTTACAATTGTGTTTTTTTACGAAATTGATGACAAATCGCCAAAAACCAATGTAACGCAAGACATACTAAATTTATACCATTGGCGTACTTAACTCGAATGACTGACATTTTTACCGTTACTAACTGTTTGTACATAAGTTTCAACTTTAAAATCAAAATTCTTAATAAGTATTGATTGGAATTATAAAACTTAAAGTCTGGTGTAAAGAGAATTGTAAGAGCTTTCAAAAGAAATATTACTCAACCCCCAATGCCATTTAAATATTTTGAAGTGATGGGTGATGCTTACCCTTGCTTGGGGGTGAAAGTGGTGGAGTCAAAAATACCAGCAAAAAATGTCCCCCTTTAATCTAAAATCGACGGGTCTGAGCGTTTTTCTACAATCTTGACGCAATTCTTGAAAATGGCTATTTCGTTTTCATTTGGCCACCCTGTATAAGCAACACCTCAGTCGTATAACGTCAGTTTTTCTTGAAGTATATGTTCAATTAGTTTCATCTCTAGAATGATTGCCCGAAATAAACAAAATTATTTATTACGAAATATTAAAATTTGTCTTTATAAACAATTATTTGTTACATTAAATTGGCATCACTAACGTGATCACTAATTCAATGTAAATATTGCGAAGTTCAAAAACTTAAATAGATGGGCATTAGGAAACGCTGAAAAAAAAAAGAATATTTTTACAAATATAGATGGCATTGCAAAAAATAAAATGAAGGCTACTATTAATTGTTTCTTTCATTAACAAACAGTTAATCTTGATCAAAAGCCAATTTTGACACAAAAATTATCCTTCGTTAATTAGCAACCAATCAGGCTTTTTTGAGATTTGTTAGTAATTTTTCAAAATATTTGGGATAATTGGTGAAAAACTCGTTTTATTACATGCTAATGATATATCTCTGGACGCGTCACTGTTCGTGGAGAAGGCAATAAAACAAGTGGATGAATTTCTTCATAAAATGCAACAAACATATCCGACTTGGTACTTGACAACCTTGAATCAAACATAACACCTGGAAATACAACCAATCGTGGACGAAATGCGGTAGAAAATAGCAACAACTTGTCTGTTATATAACTACGACGCGCATCTGTCTTTAACTGCACTTTTTTAAATTATATAAGCCATTATATCACGATTTACATTTCACATTACCTAAAATGGTTTTGTTGGTTGATCACTAATGGAAAAACGTACATGGAGAGTACGATAATTTACTTTTCCCAAAATTAACTTGAATGTTTATTTTATTATACTTTTATAGGAGTTACATGACCTAAAATATTGTTAAATAGAGGTTTCATTCAAAGCAGAATTAAATTGTTGTTAAAATGGCTAAGGAAAAGCAGTTATAAACAAATTAACAAATTTTATGAAAAATTTAAAGATTTATTGCCGTTACTACAAAGTGAGCTATAAAGGTGAAGAAATTAAATGTAGTCTTACTAGAGAAAGACGAAGTTATACCACAGAAAACTCCATTTTCCTCCATTTTCAGTTGTTATTATGGGAATACCGCCCAATTAAAACTGGTTCTGAAATTGTACAAACATCAGCGTGACAGTGTTTGCACCAATACGAGCTTTATTGATTGAATTCCCTATAAAATTTGATAGTAGCCTCATCTAATTGCCCTGCTTCATTGTAATAGTACAGACAACACGACACTAAAAACGTACATGTGACAATTCTCCATCGCTCCCTATGGTTAACGATTTTGTTGAGGTTAAAACTACCGCGATACATACAAGTCGCAAATGGCTCCATTTCTGTGTGTATGTATACACTGATAACAATTTACTTGTTATCTTTTTATATTTGCCATGATTTTTACTCAAACAAAATGTAAAACGCATACTTATCATATTTTAAAATATATTCTTTCTACTCTTTTAAGTGCAGGCAGGGTGAATCTGAAATGTGTGCAAATATTTTATAGCGCGGTACAATTTATCGTGTAAAATATGTAATGAAATAAATTGTTTTTATTTTCGAAAAAATGCCCGACTTTTTAATAGAAAACTTGTTGAGATATTTATGAACATACTACAACATACTAAAAATCATACACAAGATATTCGTTCGGTTGAGTCCTTTTTTCCAAAATATTTTAGAAAAACCTATATTTGGCGGTATTTCAGGAATTTCGCATTCGATTCGCAAATACTTTTTTTCGCTAAACAAGCAACAGTACGGGATTCGTATAAATATTTATAGTAGTGCATCGGTTTAATGCACGAGTTCCCGTGATGCAAGTCGAAATTTAATGCTGCAGCGTGTCAATGACCTTTCGTTGCGAAATCCTCTACAAAAGTGTCCCGTCAACAAGTCACTTCTTAGCTCGGGTGCCGTACTATTGTATTTTCCTTTAAAGTGACTCAGTTTATGATTAAAATGTAGAACGGAATTGGGTATGTCGAGATGGTATATAAATTTATAAAATTCGCTAATCTTTACGCATTATTTTATATTTAACATATTATTTTTCGCTGATTAGGTAAGCACTCTTTTCCTTAAATATATTTCAACACACAGCTTTTTAAACTAGTATTAATTGCAATATGCATTCGTTACATTGTACCTACCAACCTGAAGTATACATAAATAATTTTCTTGTCACATAACTTGGCAAACTCGCAATTCATTCGTGTGCAAGCGTAAATGATTCCATGTGGATAGAAAAGTACCCCAAGCACTCACGTGTACAATACTACTTATTTTTAACGTAAATGGTAATTTATATATTAAAAACGGTTTTTGGTTAACTTTTAAAATATTAGATTCCGTTCTAGAGTTATTTAAAGTTTTAAAACTATCGGGCGCTTGCGTGGAAAACATTTGAATGTTAATCTTTCCATTACTGTCGTTGAGAATACACCTAGTGCGATGCTTATTGAAAAAAGGTGTAAGGAAAAGTTTGTAGGATGTGAATGATGGTAAACCGCACAAACCACAGACTCAAGTGCAATGTCTCGACAACTCAAAAGTTATGAACCTTTAAGGATTTTTATGTACGTCAAGTTTCATTCAAATCATTATAATATAGAAAAAGAACTTTATTTTTTATTTATAATAAGAACAGAGGACAGTAATAATTGATACATTAATATCTAGATCATACATACATAATTAGAAATTCTAATAAATTAACTGAATTAAATTAAATTAATCTTTAATTTATAGTACAAATAAAACAAAAATCATTATCAACGGGTTAAAAATTGTTCACATAACTAACGA